AATAAAGAAAAAACACTTCTATGATAAGTTCATATAACTACTAATATCTTCATTAAGTGCCTAAAGTGAAAATATCTTCATTTTGTGGTCTTAGTCCCCGTGCCATAAGCTGCACCAGGCATCATTTTGGAGAGGCTGACAAAAATTTGTATAACCCATGATGTCAATGCAAAGTCGCAAGGTGAGCTGATTGGGAAGCATTAAGACCCAGCTGCGAGGAACTCCAGCGTTCACTTGGTTATCCCAAACTGAAATATGAAGAGATTTGAAGTGCGGCAATGGTCTTTGAAGCAGAATAACATGAGCAGCAATATCAAGTTGTTCATGGGAAGGTCTAGGCCAAACCACAAAGAAATGAAGATCGACAGAATCATCAATCATGTCAGACCACACACGTGTGATCAACGTTCTCCATTCCAGAACATCCTCGAAAAGCTGAACACGCCTGGGTGAATCACAAATCGTATGTCGGTGATGATCATTGTACCATGCAAAAATGGTAATTGTGCGTTCCATACCTCCAGGACCTGGGCTAGCCATGGAGTTCCAAAGTGGCAGGAGTTCATTCTCAAACCAAGGCAGTTCTTGCACAGGCAAATTGGGGGTATTGATACCCAATGGCACTTCTTGTTGCTGGCAATACTGCAAACGCAAGGCTTCAAAGTCCTCACTTTTGTGGTATGTGGTCGAGCGACCTCGACTGCCACGACTCAAACCCGTCTGAAAAAGAGAAGTGGTCTCAGAATGATTGCTTTCATCAAACGAAGAGTCAACCTCCTGGACAACTGAAAGTTGCGTGGGCATTCCTTCAAGATTCTCATCCACATTAGAGATCCAGTAAAATGCTTCAACGTCTTCTGCCGCAACACCCATCTGGAGCAACCTCGCAATACATCGCGTCGGGATGTTTCTCATCACAGTGAGTGGTGGAGGCAGAGCAATGCGGATGTAGTCTCCATGGAAGAGACGTGCATAAAGGCCCGCATCTTGCTGGATCAATTGTCCATTGTGCCAGACCAGACAGGTATCCTGTACGTAGCTGGCGTACAAGAACACATCCATAACCCGCAGGATCTGGTGTCTGGAAAGCACCGTAGGCACATAGATTGGGCAGCGGATTCTTTCAAACTGACGACCTGGTGCCGCTGGATGAAACTCCACATCCACTAGTACAAAGGCCAATCGTGGATGTTCTGGAACATCATGTTCATGTTGGGCTAAGAAGACATGCACACCACGTTGCTGCAAGTCTTCTGGCGGATGCGGCACACAATGAAAGGCTCGCAGTTGGTCCACAGCAATGTTGGCAAGTCTGGCCACATTGGTACGTGCCAGTCGATGGTTCACCGCATTGACCTGCCCTTCTTGAGGTGGGCCATGAACTGAAAAGACAACAGACAGCCTCCAGTAAGGGTCTTCTTCTGTGGATTCAGTGTCTTCAGCGTCGGCGCCATTGAACTCGTTGTCCAGATGTTCTTCATCTTCCTGCTGTGCAGCTCCTCTTTGATCTACAACCGCAAGAGATGAGACTGGGGTCAGACCAGTCCTGGATCTAGCACCGGCAGCCATGAAAGAGCTAAAATCATCTTCATCATCAGCAGCAGGATGCACTTCAACAACAACTGATGTGAACATCGGAGTCAGCTCAGGCCTATCATCCCTAAGAGTATGTTGGGCCATTCTGGACATGCACATCCTTGATTCACATTGCAGAATCGCAGGTACAAGCGCAACTGCTTCTGAGTGTGTCAACGCATGCGGCAAAACTTGTGCCGTGTGCATGATGGCATCTCTTGTGGAACTACGGAAAATACCCGAAACAACTCCAACTCGATCATGTGGCTGCAAGGCTTGCCCAAGTATGATGTGTGCGGCATGCGCTTCAAACACAGTGGCAGGGGGATGAGGGCTGACAATGCCAAACTCAACCGGAAGGTCATGGTGAAGTCGATCATGCCATGTTTCCTTGATTACATCAATCCATTCATGCCATTGTGAGTCAAGGCGCAAGGTTCTAGGCATCTCGCACCGTCTGACTTCCGTGCCATGGAGATACCAGGAGTTCACATAGATGATTTTGCCTTCTTCAAGACACTCAACAATGCCAACTTGCTCATGTAGCAGTCGCAACTGTGACCACCACTGTGGTAAGTGGTTGGGATCAATCCTCCGAAGGTGGACACGGTCCCCTTCTTCCTGATCAACAAACTGACGCAGAAAGGTGGGCGCTTCAAGCGGATCAGAATGTTGATGGGTGATCAGAACTGAGCTCTTCTGTCCATCCACAGCTGCAGAAGGTTGAACTTCCGTTTGCGGGAACTGCTGAGAAGGATCAGGAGAGACAGAAACATCATCCAATTGGTAAGGCATCGGCTTTTCCAAAGCACGATCATTCTGTGGGGAACATCTTGATGAAAAACGCAGTCTCCATGGCTTATCCGGCCATTGTTGAAGATAATCATGCGCAATCTTGGTGGAAAAGGCTCGGATCTCCTCATCCAAACCAAAATAAACTTGTATGTCATCACAAAATGTGCATCGCTTTTTGTTCTCAGGAGTCACCTGGCATCCTTTGCGCTCAATTGGAACTGGAGAGGTCCATGCATTCCCAAAAGCAAAGGCCTCGTCAAGAGCATCAATTTCAGCCTGCCATTCGGAAACAAACCATGCTTTCCTGGTGGCTCTGTGTGACCATTTGAGTTGGCATGAAGACCAGGCCTCATGCGAATGTAGCCCATAGCCAATCTCCTTTGGGTCTATTGACCGGGCTTGGCAAAATGCTCCGAGGGCGGAGGCATAGAAGAATCTCCAGGCTCTTCCGGATGATGAAGTCTGGGCCGTTTGAGGGCGTTCTCCTCTACGGCAGACTCTGCTTGATTTCTCAAATTTTCGAGGTTCTGTAACAACAGACTCATACCTTCTTTGAGAACTTGGCCCTTGTTGTCCATTGCCTCCTGACCCTCGTCGTCCGAGATCTCCACTGCCATCTCTGATCTGCCATCTGTCTCGCCTTCCTCTGTGTCCTTGGCCTCCTTCTTCGAAGCTTCCAAGCCTTCTTGAGCTTGTTTCACCGCCTCTGAGGCATTGGCCACTTGTTGAGCAAGTTCTGTGTCTTGCTTCTCGAAGTCCAGACAAAACTGCTTCCACTTCTCCACACTGGCATCCAGATAGTTCCGCCAAACTGTATGTAAGTTCAGCCTGGACGACCTCGCCTCTGCCAAAGCCTTCTTGGCTTTGCCCAGCTTCGTGACAGCTGAGTGCAGTAACTTCGTGATGTCCTGTGATTGCACCTTGTGGTTCTCCTGCAGAAGGGTCTGCAGCTCTGGTGGTAAGCTTGTTTCGTTCTTTTTCATGGCAGCAACTAGTACACGGAGCTGTTGTTCTGCCTGTGATGACGCCGCAGTGGATGAATGCTGCGTGCTCTGAGATGACGTGGCTTTCCAAGGAGCTTCTGGAAGAGGTGGAGTTTGAAACTGCGTCCCATCCTGTCCCTTCTTGCCCTTGTCCTTTCGATTCTTCTGTCCCTTGCCCTTGCCTCGAGAACGCGGCTTTTTCGTTCCTTGTGGTGTTTGGGAACGATGGCTGCTTCGAGGGGATTGCGATGGACCACGGCCATCTTGCCATGATCTGTGCGTCCATGGTGTCTCTTCTTGCCATTGCGCATAGGTATGATCTGCTTGCTCTTGCTGCTGTCGAACATGTGACTGGACATGGGAATAGGAGCCATCCAATGCTTCTGTCCAGTGTCGACCACATTGTCCGCAGTATGTCGCTGCCGCTTTGTTCAATCTCCGACAAAATCGGCATTTCCATGGGGTCGATCTGCCTCTCCACTGCTCCATTGCTGCAGAAACTTTGCGTTGAAAAGTCCAATCTACAGAATGGTGGCGCGAGAGTGTGTCTTTGATATGTTTCAGTTCCAGAACAGTGAGATGTAGCTTTCCCTTGCGGAAAAGATGCCAATGAAGCCTTGCCAGAGAACGCAGTCTTCGCTGTCGTCGCCTCTTGGAAGGAGTAATGATGGCCACAAGATCCAATCACAAAGTCCAGAAATGCAAGTACCAAGACCAAGAACAAAAGCATATAGAGCCAGCAAAAACAGTGGGAATAATCTCGAGGACAAAGTCAAACTCGATGAAAATAAGCCACCTGGAGTGGGCCAATTAAATGGCAGCCAGTCCTCGCCGGACTCCAATGATGTCAATCTCCCCAAGGTCCAAGCAGTAGAAAATCGATGAAGTGCAAGGACAGAAGCAAAGGTGTTAGAGGTCTGCACAGGACCTCCAGAGCACAACACTTGAAGGCGCCCACCACCAGCGCCCGCGGCTATGGGGCGAAGCCGCTAAGGTCAATCGACCGACAGAGAACGTGCGTGGGTCCCTGCTCAGCCGAAACCTTTGTACATATATATATATATATACACATACAGACATTACATTACATTACATTGCATTACATTACATTACATTAGAATAGAATAGAATACAATACAATACAATACATTACATACATACATATGTATATATATATAGATGATTGATCAGTTGATTATGTAGCTCAAATTATTGTTTTGTTTGGGTCCCATCCATGTATTTTGTGCATTCCAACCAGGCATGTCTATCTATCCCAAGTCCTGAATGATATCCCCCGCAAAATTGATTCTTGATGCTCGAACCGATATGTGCGCGCGTGAAGAATCTTGAACACATAAACATATGGTGGTTTCCATGAATGGATATAAATGGGGGTACCCCCCAAAATCATAGATGGGATTTTCCATGAAATCAACCATCCAGCGTTTTTGGGGTACCTCCATGACTATGGACTATGGAAACCTCCATTTATCTGGGTAAATTATAATATTTCACTAACCTGAATTAAGGCCATTTGGGGATGATTTCCCTTATAAACCATGATTTCCAGGGAGGTCGTAGTGAAGCCGCATTTTTCAAGATGAAACCCTCGCAGCTGGATACTTCTCAAACGTTGAGGCTCCCGGCTGCGATAACAGCGCTGCAGGTCTCCGCATCCTGGAACAAACGGTTTTTGCGGAGACCATTTCAGAAACAAACAGAGGGGGTGATTCGATCATCAAATTGGGATTTAACATGGCTTATATAACATTTATTCGTTATATAACTCCTAAATTAAGTATGGTTTAATCATCAAGAAATTGAGAAATTCGCTGATTTACATCAGGGACAGCGACAAGCTCGATTTCATTAATGGACACTAATACTATCTAATACTAATATTACGGCCAGGCCCTGTGTGTTGCCCGGAAGTTTACAGGGACGTTCCCGGCAAATTTCATGATGATGATGATGATGATTGAAGATCTTCAATGAATGTAGAAGTTCCACGGGGTGGGAAAACTAAACCCTCATTGAGGATCTTCAATGAATGTAAGAGTTTGACGGAGTTGGGAGAATTAAACCCTTATTGAAGATCTTCAATGAATGGAAGAGTTTAACGGGGGTGGGAAATTTCACCCTTATTGAAGATCTTCAACGAATGTAAGAGTTTAAGGGGGGGTGGGAGAATTAAACCCTTATTGAAGAATTTTCAATGAATGTAAAAGTTTAACGGGGGTGAACAACAAATCCTTGTAATTAACGCTATTCTGGGCTTGGGCAACACACGGGGCCTGTGGGTAATATGAGTGAATAAAGCAAGATGGCTACTCAACTTATTGTACCTGATTTGATCAAGCAAATATGTGTTGCTTAAACAAGCGAGGATTCAACGAACTAGAATATGTACTCATTAACAAAAACAACCTATCAATAAGCATCTTTGCGAAGCAAAGGAACAAGTAGATATAATTAGAGGATATACCTCTGAGCAGAAAACTTAAAACGCTGGCGACAGTATCAAGGCATCAAAATTGCTGGCAATTGATGTGGACTGCTTTACTGGCTACTATACCAGTACAGCCAACCAAAGATAGATCCTACCTATCTAACTATCCACCTATTTACCCAGCAACCAATCTACCATGATCTACCGATCTAATGAATCAATCATTCAACCCATCAATCAATCTATCTAATCTATCTGAGTATCGAATTACGTATATGTCTGACTCATCTCGTCTCACCTCATCTTGTCTCGTCTCGTCTCAGCTCACCAATCTATCTTCCCTTTACCTTCGGCAACGCCACAGTCAATGATTCCAAGTGTTCTAGTCATGCAAAGGGCAACTTGGTCTCACATCTGGGTATTTGGCATTACGACTGGTCGTTTGGAGGATCTAAGACCAAACATAACGGGGACCTAGTGGGAGGCTCCAACTTGGGGCATCCATCTGACCGATGACCCGACATCTACCATGGGAGCGTCCCCTGTTTCACCAAAAAAAAACAGACTTGAATGGACTTTAAAACCAAGAATTCCATGGAATGTCCATAGTATGGACAGTGAATGACATTGATATGATATCGATATGTTTATTTCCCACAAATCCATGGTTTATCCCATACCATTTCCATAGATTTTCCCACAAATCCATCCATTTTCGCAGACTTCGAAGAATTCCCCAGCTCACCACCCGGGACCACCGAACCAGTTGGACGCGCGCTGCAATCATCTGCCGCGACAAATCGATGACCAGGTCTTGCTTTGAGGCCTCGACTGCTAAGCTTAGGAGGGAAGCTGGTGCCCCATTTAGTTGAGTTACTTTATAACATGCCCTCTGGTAAACTAACATGACTATGGAAAATCAATGAAATCACAATTTTTAATGGGTAAATCAATCAACTATAGATGGCCATTTCCAATAGCTATGTTAGTTTACCATAACTGGGGTTCATATTATGAGTTTTTTTTCTAAGCAACATGTAACTGCGGCGACACCACCTTGTAGAACCACAAAGTAAAGGATATAAAAGTGGTACATAACTTTACCGGTAGACTTGGATTACCTGGAAGATGTGGCCCCTATAAAAACTATATACTAAGAACAGTATCATTCCATGATACTAGCCCTTCAATAATGGGGGAATTAGATCAAATTGGTATTTTGGGCACTGCTCAAATGACTTTTGTTTGAGGCTATATATATATATATATCACATAATTACTTTACTTCGTGTGATCCCCACCATGACGTTTATACATTTTGTTACTGGCAAATCTTCTGGCATTCTATCTGACATTTTATCTGGCATTCTATCTGGCATACCTTCTGGCATTCTATCCGGCATATCTTCTGGCATTCTATCTGGCATATCTTCTGGCATTCTACCTGGCATATCTTCTGGCATATGTTCTGGCATATCTTCTGGCATTCTATCTGGCATTCTATCTGGCATATCTTCTGGCATATTATCTGGCATATCTTCTGGCATATGTTCTGGCATATCTTCTGGCATTCTATCTGGCATTCTATCTGGCATATCTTCTGTCATATTATCTGGCAAATCTTCTGGCATTCTATCTGGCAAACATTCTGGCACTTTATCTAGCATACCTTCTGGCATTCTATCTGACATTCTATCTGGCATTCTATCTGGCATATCTTCTGGCATATTATCTGGCAAATCTTCTGGCAGTCTATCTGGCAAACATTCTGGCACTTTATCTGGCATACCTTCTGGCATTCCATCTGGCATTCTATCTGGCATATCTTCTGGCGTTCTACCTGGCATATCTTCTGGCATATGTTCTGGCATATCTTCCGGCATTCTATCTGGCATTCTATCTGGCATATCTTCTGGCATATTATCTGGCAAATCTTCTGGCATTCTATCTGGCAAACATTCAAGCACTTTATCTGGCATATCTTCTGGCATTCTATCTGACATTTTATCTGGCATTCTATCTGGCATACCTTCTGGCATTGTATCTGGCATATCTTCTGGCATTCTATCTGGAATATCTTCTGGCATTCTATCTGGCATATCTTCTGGCATTCTATCTGGAATATCTTCTGGCATTCTATCTGGCCGTTGAGGTCCAGCGGTGCACACTGAGCTGGGCAGGTCCCAGGTTGAGGTCCAGCGGTGCACACTGAGCTGGGCAGGTCCCGGGTTGAGGTCCAGCGGTGCACACTGAGCTGGGAAGGTCCCAGGTTGAGGTCCAGCGGTGCACACTGAGCTGGGCAGGTCCCAGGTTGAGGTCCAGCGGTGCACACTGAGCTGGGAAGGTCCCAGGTTGAGGTCCAGCGGTGCACACTGAGCTGGGAAATTGGCAAAGAGCTTGGCGAAGAGAGTTGGCAAAGAGCTTGGCGAAGAGTTGGCAAGGCGGAAGTGGAGGTGGAAGTTGATGCAGACATGGTCGAGGAGAAACTGGAGGAGGAGGCGGAGGAGGAGGAGGAGGCGAGGAAGAGGAGGAGGAGGAGGAGAAGGAGGAGAAGAGCTAGCCGAGGAGGAGAAGAACAACTCTGATAAAATCTAACAACCCTCACCTCACCTGGCAGGTGGGGAAAAAACACATATTACTGTAATTTATACCATTATGTATGCATATAATAATAATCTAATTAACTGGCAATATCAACAATCAACATTTCAAACGGACTGGTTGACTGACAGAGTTGACTGAGAGTGGGATTCCGACTCGGAATGTTGGTATACAAACGCATACAGAATATATAATCCGCACAAGTATCTAGGCAAACGCGATTTCCGTCAGTTTAAGTGGATACACAGCATGGAGATGAAACAAACAAGACTAGCAGCAAATCATTTCATATAGAGAAATACATACATCTACATATATCTATAGTCAAACTGTCACCAGGCATTCATGGAGGGCCTGGCCCCCCTGACCCCCCCGGGGCCCCCAATCCTGGGCACAGCAAGCAACCACAGCGCCAAGGACTACGGTGTTGATCTCTATGGACTCCTGGCGGTCATGGGATTTGGATTTATGGCATCCCATGAGCAAGGTGGGCAACCTTGGTTAAAAAAAAATAGCAGTTGTATTACCCTCTGATAATTTAACATAGCTATTGAACATGGCCATAGTCATAGTTGATGTATCAATTAAACATGAGGATTTTCCATAGTTATGCCAGTTTACCAGAGGGTATATGAATGTGATAAGCCCAATAAGACACAACTACCATTTAGTGAATTTAGTGAATGCTGTTATTGGTTTGTTTTGCCCAAAATCCAATTGATAGATTCTATTGTTGTTACTATATGGGGCATCATGGCAAATTTATCGCTCACCATCATGGGGTTGACTAACCATTGTGGGCTTCACATTGTGCTGGTTGGTTGTATGATCGCTATCTTGTTTGCTCAATAGGTATTGCCAGTTCATAAGCCCCGAGCTTATCATCAACCAACAGGGTTTTTGAACATTGTTCATAATATGTAAAGTAGTACATATATTGCAGCCATGTGACATTACCTGAGGGTGTTATATATAAATATATACTATACACTTATAATCACTTATAACTTATATATATATATTATACATAGTAGACACATCTAGACAGAATAGACAGAATGATGAATAGTGTGTTCGGCTGGCAAAGCAATCGTTTGTTGCAGGTTTGGAAAAAATGCATCCGAATGAATTTGGGATCAACGCTCGGAGACGAATAGTGACAAGGCGAATTCGTCTCAAACAATATACAAGCTATGAAGAGATGTAGAGGGGGGGGGTACCAATTTTAAGAGCAATTTGTCACTATTTTGGGAGCTATCCCCTCAATTAATAGTGAAACTGGGTGTAAAAATCCGGGGCTGACATTGACTGTAACTCCGCAAGCATTATCGTCCCCGCATGACACTGTATATGTGGGCGAATGTTCCCTGAAATGGGTGGGTTCAAAAATACTCCAAAATAGGGCACAAATAGAACACTGATGGTTTCAAATCTTGTCTTCCCTATCTTTGGGATTATTGTACCCCATGTATAGCACGAATGGCGGAGCGACTTTCTTGCTGACGCCCTTGCAGTGCTTCTGCGCATCCGATCATCAAGCGGTAAGGAGTTGAGGCTTTTTATACCTTTTTTCAGTGAAACGATCACTGGTTGGTAGTTTTAACCATCTTGAAAAATATGACTTCGCCAATGGGAAGGATTATCCCATATAATCATATAACCATATATTATGGAAAATAAAATTCATGTTTGAAACCACCAACCAGATCATGGTGTTTTTTGTGTCTCATGGGTAGCATGATCCCACGCGTTCCCATTCCCACATGTTTGTTGATGCGATGTATCAACTTTGCCGCGCACCAGTCTCCTCGAGCACTTGCGCCATAAGGGACATTGACATTCTCCAGTCCTTCGGTGGCTGGATATGATTTCTGTATGTGGACATTTTCCTGAAAAAAAGACAATAAAAGGCACATATGTTTGACAAATCATGACAACTCCATATTCTATCTACATCAGGATCATGAAGTATACTCTAATACTCTAGACACTTATTGCTTACGATTTCCTTGCGTTTCCCGTTCCCTTTGGAATTTGATTTGTGACTTTCAGAACTTGTATGTGTAGCAATCAATATCTCATACAATCTGTCAATTTTGAAGTGGTGCGCATCTCTTGTTTACAGTAGCAAGTACAGTACTGCATTCCAACAATCAAAAGTTCTGATTGCACCCCTTCTTTGCACTTGAGATCGACAATTCTTCTTCAACAACCTTTGCCTTTCATACGTTTTGTCTTGGTCATACTTTCCAGGTCATCCTTGAGTTAGCAGGCCTGCTGACCAAGATGAGCCACCAAGTACACCCATGAATCCATGGATGTCAAAGGTTAGATTTGCTTCATGATCTTGTCTGGTTGGTGGTTGACCTACCACTCTAAAAATCATGAAAGGCGGTTGGGATGATGAAATTCCCAATATATTCAATATATGGGAAAAATGGTCCAAACCACCAACCAGTTGTGCTTCTGACTTCTCTGTCTTGGACATGCTGGAATTGCATAGTCATGTGTTTCTCTTGAATCAGCTTTAAGTTCCAGCTTAGCGTATATTATGATGCCCCTTATCAAACATATTGGATACCCCGGTTTGGTCGATGGTTTGGTCTGAAAATGAGATTTATTGTAGCCCCAAATCCACTGGCTGATCAGCATTTTCCCAACATTGGAATTTGAGGGTGATCAAACATGGTTTGATGGAAATTCCCCAAATTTATAGATGGATTTCCCATGAAAACCCGCCATTTATATAATCCTTTTCTGGGAATGTCCCGTTTCCAGACACACCTTGGCTGCGCTGATAGCGCTTATGGCAGCGCCAAAGGTGACCACGTTGGCTGCAACGCGCAGCAGCGCCTGAGTTTCAGCGCTGGGACGGTTCAGGGACCAGTTTCTTTCCTTTTTGCTGATTAAATCTCCATCTTTGTGTTTATTTCTCATTGTGTTGATAGCAAACTGACATTTCTTTTTATTCAAAATCATTTGCATCTTCTTGCTGGGAGGAATTCCCATTGCTGGTGAACTTTGTGTACTTGCTGGTCGATTCCCCAAATATATACTTTATATTATGATTGCGAAGCCGTATTCATGAGTAAAATCCATTTTGGGGGTGGGCCATGTCTGGCGTTTCACCGGTCTCGCCCTCAGCTGTTGTTGCCTTTTCTCACAGCTGTCGACGTCTCTATTTTCGCTTGAGTTCTTCTGACTGTTGCTTTTACTAACCATCAAAGCTCAGCACATCTCTGTATTGTTGGTGAATCTCCGCACTTTGTCCTGGTTCTATCCCTATAGTTGGTTTATTCGACACTGTTTGCGTAGCAATGATCGACCCCAAAAACCCATGGCTTGTGAATTTCTTCGGACCTGTCGGAATGTTCATATGTGGAGGATTCCCGGATCGACCTCTACTAGTATCATCAGATGTCATATATCCACCATATACCCTCTGGTTATTTAACATAGCCATGGTATAGATGGCCCATTTATAGATGGTTTACCTATTAAAAATTGTGATTTTCCATGGCTATGTTAAATAACCAGAGGGTAATTCAACTGCTTACCTTGATTCGACAGGGTTCCTGTTAATTGTTGTCTACCGCCAAGAATGGGAATACATGAACATCATTCTAATTCAATGAGAATACAACAAGAAAAGACCAACTCAAGAATTGGCAAAACCATAGTGAACCGTAGGATTCGACCCAAACAAACCCATCAACACAACAGAAACACGGGGCGCACCATTTCTTCAAACAATCTGAGGGCTGACGGCCACCTGGCCAGTGGTAAGAACTTCTTCGTGGCGTTGTTTTTATCGATGGACTCAATGGGGAAACTTGCAGGAAACTATGTTTTGACCATCAAATATAGGGGGGGTCCAGTGAAATTTACCATGAACCAATTCTGGCAATCAATGTGGATTGTCAATGAGCCTGTCGAATCAGGATCTTCGTGATTGTTTGAAGGTAGTGTTGTGGATATGATCTGGACACACCCGCGAACAGATTGTTGTCAAATACCAAAGTGCTGTGAAGCACAGCACCTATCCTTGAGATTGCAATATATATATATATATAGATAGATATATAGCAAGCATGCCAGGTCAGAACAGATCTTGAGGTATCTGATGGTAGGATTTCTGTGGAAACACAAATGAATTGAAGGAATCCGATCTCAGGACGCAGGCTTTAGCCGGTTTGGGCCGCAACTGCCATCATACCGTCACGGGCCGCAACATCAACTTTTTCTTGGGTATACTAATTATAGTATACATGTTATATGATTTCCCAAAGATGTTGGTTTACATGGTTACCATCCAATTTTATATTGCCATTTTGTAAATCCTCGCACATTCTGCAGTTCCAATCCTTTCTTTACTGGCCGTTTGGGGAAAATTGGCACAGAAAGGTCCAAGTTCTGTTCTCCTCTTTCAAACTAGCCATGTTTACCCACCAACCCAACAGTTCTATAAGTTATGGCTTTGTCTGAAAATGGAATATACCCTCCAAATGACCATATTAGAATATATATATATAATACATATATATTATATATATGGTATATTGTATATACATATGTATGTATATATATATATGTATACGTGTATATATATATATAATATAAAGTTTCAACAAACAAAAACATGATCATCATCCATAATCATCCATTGGAATTGGTGTTGTTTTCCCAAGATTTTCAGATCGCACCTTGAGCTCCGTTCACATGCAGCCATGGCTCCTGAATAGGACACCACAGTGCCTAGACACGTCGCGGAAGGGACATCTGGGAGTAACACTCCTCAATGATACATATATATATAGGTTTTTGATATGGTTTTTGGATGAAGTCGAACTATGTTCAGATCTGACTGAACCTGCAAAAAACTTGAAGTATGTCTTGAAAAACGCTTTGGTTTGTCAAGGATTGCTTTCACTTATGGTGATCTTAGACACCCGTAACAAAAAACGGTGGGTCAATCTACCACCGCAGAAAAATATGGAAAAGATCATGACACATATAGAAACATATAGACAAATCATACAACAACTCCCTTTTTTGGGTATCTTTTCTTGGGTTGCTTGCCTAAAGAACTATCATTAGCATATCAAACTACCCAAACCACCCCATGATTGGCGCCTTGGCATCGACACAGAGAAAGCTCTTCTACGTTCATGAGGGCCTGCGTCCACCTCGCCGCGATGAGGGCCAACGAAGCTGAAGCCTGGATTAGTTCTCGAACATCTGCCAAAAATGGAACGTTTGCCTTTCAACAAAAGGGGAATCCTCTGGGAAATGCTGATTTTGAAGGTTCCAGTCATATAAATCTGTGTTTGGCTTTCCGTAATTTTTCCATGACATCAAGTCTGGAAAGTGTTGCATGGCTGCTGATTTTGATGGATTCGTGGAGCCCGCAAATACCTGGCAAGTGGACAAGCATGACATGAGCCCGAATACAAAAAAAACTGTAGATTTTGACCCAGTGTCGTGGTTTTAACATGTTTAAACATATCATTGTAGGAGTCATAGTGATGCACAAAGGTATCATTTATAAGACACGCTTAAGCCAATCGCGCCGCCGGTTTCCTATGAGAGTCTCTGCTCAGGTCCCGTGAAGGGCCCAGGGGCAATGGACGACTAAAGCTTCGAAACGCACAAATCTGGATAAATTACAATCATTCATTGTCCTGACATTAAAATGAAATAAAACTATTTGGGTATTCTTACCCCTTACCATTGGACCATCATTCATTCCAGGAATTCTAGGAAGGCTTGATGGGCCATAAGAAGCAATAACATGCAATAACTATGTACAAGCCATTGATACTGTGTAACCACCGTGAACCACCGTGAACTATACATACAATAACTCTACCACTACCAAGTGGCTTACATACAATCCTCTACTAAATTTTGCCACAGAAATGGACCACCCACATTTGTATATCATTTTCTAGCAGTTTTCCAATCGTTCTTTTCAATATCTATACATTATGGATCGCCATGGCATAGTCACCAAAAAGATAAAACCAACTTCAATCTATCAGTATTCTAGGATTGGATCTTGCTTTTCTATGTGTTTTCTGCATGTTTTTTTTTTGGGGGGGTTGCCATAGGTGTGTTTTTTTATGGGCCTCCGGACCGACAGGCTTCTTCGCATGCTTTGATGCTGGCGCTGCATGTTACCACCTGAGTCATGGCCCCGAAGGCGAAGGGAGGACACAGGCTGCTTTGAAAGAATATTGCGCAATGTTTTTTCAAATGTGACACATGGCAAAAGCGTATGTTTTGGATCATATTTTCTCAACATTTACATTTTTTCATTTTGTTCATTTTTTTTATTTTATTCAATTATATTCATATATTTTCATATTTTTGATTGAAAAAACCATTGCCAATCCAGACACCTGGTAATGAGACATGGCAACTGGAAAATCACCATAAATGCAGGTTTTAATGGGAATGTCATCTGTAAATGGTGGATTTTCCATCAAGCCATGTTTGATTTCCGGATGGTAAATCTACTTGTGATTGTAGTATGTGATGGAATTTTTATTTATAAAGACATATCCCGATTAACCAACTATAGGTATATAATATCTTCTATCCATTACAAGTCAATTTCTGATTGATTCTATCCTTTGAATATTCCATGAAATCACATAGGTCTGGGTAAATGATCACATTTCAGCCTAAAATAAGGCCTCCCCAAGGTGGACGATGTCCTTAACCCAGTGCCCATTTTTCGGTGACACCATCGTTGAGGACTCCAACATTGACCTCGCTTTGAGGTTGGCCTTAAGCAACTCGGTTGCTAAACTGAGAGGCGAAGCTTGGAACTGGCATTTTTTAAATAGAAAACTGGTAGACATAGATAAATATAGATATATGGATAATGATTATAAGTAACAGCTATAGATAATGATAACGGTTTTATCATAAGCTTGATATTGATAATATTTGACAATGGTGAAACACCAAGGTTCACCTGAGAAATTATAGGCATGAAAACTGGTCATGGTTTTTGTCAAGGTTATAAATAAATATAGATACTGTATATAATACGATACAATTAGTTGCATATTCTGGGACGACTGGGAAGTAAATCATGTTGTCTATTCAAAACATGTATATATAGAAAACACAAATATCCCCTGATATCAATGATGATGTCTCCCAGGTTGTAATATTGCGATGACGCAATATTTGGGGTGGCATAAGAAGTGGATTTGCAGCAGTTGCGTTGACCTGCCCCGACCTCGCCAAAAAGAGCACCCTCAGTCAAGGTCATTAGTCCACATGCTATTGTTTGACTGATACCTTTCATATCGTTTCATTCTGTGACGATTATTGTAAATTACATAAGTGAGTAAACGCCCCAAAACAAACCTTCAAGGCCTAGCAAAATACCAGATTCGCACCTTTTTTTGAAAATCCGTCCTGGTTCAAATGACCAGTGGATTTTTCGGACGGGTCAGTCGTCACTGTCACTTGGTACCAGGGGTCTCAACAAACAGCGACCGAACGAACTGGGCATAGCGACATCGTAGCGCTTCTTCCCAATACTTCACCTGCGGAAATCTGGGCCAAACATATCCGCAAACACAACAGTCCCATACGATTAATGATAAACATGTTGTGTACGCACAAATACTGTCTATGTATATATATATAGTCATGGACCCTGGGGGGGTTAGGGGGGGTGTAAGTAGTTTATCATAAAAAGGTTTATTAGGGGCTTCTGTGTAAGGCCCTTATTAGAAGCTTAATAAATTCTTAATAAACGCTTATTAGAAACTTAATAGATGCTTATCCGTTAAGCTCTGAACAAGGCCTGGTTAAGTCTTCAGCCAAGGCGCCTAGGACCAAGGTATGGGAGAGTCTGCGAAGGTGAAGGGCCTGGGCGGCCTGGGGAGGGTCTGGAAAGGTTTGGGTGAGGATCGGAGGGTAGTTGGGGACGTTGGGGGTTGGGGGGATTTTGGGGGATTTCGGGGCAAATTAGGTTGGGAAACATGCTTATCCAAGGCTTATCCAAGGCTTATCCAAGGCTTATCCTTTAAGCCCTGGATAAGCCCTTAATAAGCCCTTGTCAGTTTTCAACCAACCCTGAACAAACCTTGGATAAGGATTTCTTGTTTCATTCATGGTTGGACCAGGGGAATAAAAACAGTTTTCCCTGGCATTGGGGATATCTGATAAGCCCTTATTAGGCTCTTATATGATAAGCTACTTACCCCCCCTTACCCCTCCCAGGGTTCCATGATATATATATATATATGTCTATAGGTAAACCGGTAAGCATGTAAATGTATGTATGTATGTATGTCTGTATGTAAATATGTATGTATGTATGCATGCATGCATGCATGTGTATATATATATATATATATATATATGTATGTATATGTGTATATGTGTATTTGTATATATGTATATGTAAATATATATATATATATTATACATCTATATATGCATATATATATATATGTGTATATGTGTATATGTAAATATATATATATATGTATATCTGCATACATGTGTATATGTGTATATATATCTACATACGTATGTATGTATGTATGATTGTATTTGTAAATATTTGTAAATATATGTAAATATTTGAAAACACATGAGCATATTTGTGTTTTTTCCCGAATGCGTAGCAAGGGTTCCCGTTTCACTCTGGGGGTCTGGGGGTTGAGGGTGTGTTCGCTCGACGTTGCGTTCACGGTCGCAACCGTCCGCAACCGTCCGCAACCGTCCGCAACCGTTCGTGTGAGGACCGTATGGCCGTGCCTATGGGAAGTTCTGCAGGAGGGATCATTTTTGGAGGTTTCAGACGTCTGGTTGCTTCGTTTCGCGTGGCAGGCGTGGCACTTCGTGACATTCAGCAACGTTCTGTAACGTGTCGAAAGTCGTTTTGTGTGGCAGGCGCAATACTTTTGCGACGTTTTCAGAAGATGTGTTGCATTTTTCGTGGCAGGCGCAGCACTTTGGACGTGTCCATCGTCATTTTTCCTGGCAGGCGCAGCACTTTAGACGTGTCGTGTTGCGTGTTTATTGCAAATCGCATTGGCAGGGCTGCGTCAAGTGGCGACAAGGTGCAAATTCCGTGGCAGGCGTGGCATTTTCTGACATGTGCTGAAAATTGACGGAAGCCTCGCACGAAACATCGATTTTGAGGTTGCAAATTTTCAGGTTCTAAGGAAAACTCGTAGGAAAACGTCGGTTTTGAAGCTGCAAGTGTGAAAATTGGAGGAAGTCTCGCACGAAATGCTCGTTTTGGTGCTCCCACGTGTCTCGTCTCGAGTCTCTGGTTTTCCTGTGGCCTCGCCGTGTCAATGGGGGAAGCTGCAAAACTTGTCCTTTTGTCATGTTGCCATCTGTGAAAATTGGAGGAAGTCTCGTACGAAATGCTGGTTTTTCTGCATCCACGTGTCTTGGCTCGAGTCGCTGGTTTTCCTGTGGCGTCGCCGTGTCTATGGGGGAAGCTGGAAAGGCTATCCTATCCGAATGTGTCCAAGCAGGTTGTCATGTCCTTTTGCGTGGCAGGTGCGGCATTTCGTGACATTCCAACCTGTTTGATAACGTGTCGAAAATATCAAAATTGGAGGACGTCTCGTACGAAATGCTTGTTTTTCTGCACCCACATGTCTCGTCTCGTGTGTCTGGTTTTCCTGCGGCGTCGCCGTGTCAATGGGGAAAGCTGCAAAACCTCTCCTTTCCGAAGGTTTCCAAGCAGGTTGTCATGTCGTTTTGCGTGGCAGGCGTGGCACTTTGTGACATTCGAACCTGTTTGCTAACGTGTCGAAAATGTTAAAATTGCAGGAAGCCTCGTACGAAATTTGTGTTTTTCTGCATACATGTGTCTTGTCTCGAGTCTCTGGTTTTCCTGTGGCGTCGCCGTGTCTATGGGGGAAGGTCCGCACTCCACACTCTACACTCCACACTCCACCATTTACACTTTAGACTCCACACTTTACACTTTACCCTCCAAACTTTACCCTTTGCACTTTACACTCCTCACTCCTCACCCGAGACTTTACACTCCACACTCCACACTTTACACTCCACACTTCTCACTCTACACTTTACACTCTACACTCTACACTCTACACTCCACACTTGACATTTTACACTCCAGACTTTACACTTTACACTCCTCACTCCACACTTTACACTCCACACTCCACACTCCTCACTTTACACTCCACACTCCTCACTTTACACTTCACACTCCACACTCCACACTTTACACTCCACATTCCAGACTCCACAATTTACACTTTAGACTCCTGACTCCACACTCCACACTCTACACTATACACTCCACACTCCACACTTTACACTCCACACTCCACACTCTACACTTTACACTCTACACTTTACACTCTACACTTTACACTCTACACTTTACACTCTACACTCCACACTTTACACTTTACACACTCCACACTCCTCACTCCACACTTTCCACTCCACACTCCACACTCCTCACTTTACACTCCACACTCCGCACTCTACACTTTACACTCCGCACTCCACACTCCACACTTTACACTCCACACTCCACACTTTACACTCCGCACTCCTCACTTTACACTCCACACTCCACACTTTCCACCCCACACTCCGCACTCTACACTTTACACTCCACACTCCTCACTTTACACTCCACACTCCACACTCTACACTTTACACTCCGCACTCCACACTTTACACTCCGCACTCCTCACTTTACACTCCGCACTCCTCACTTTACACTCCACACTCCACCCCACACTCCACACTCTAACTACACTTTACACTCCACACTCCACACTTTACACTCCACACTCTACACTTTACAATTTACAATCCACACTCAACACTTTACACTCTACACTTTACACTCTACACTCCACACCCCACACTCTACAATTTACAAACTCCACAATCCTCACTCCACACTTTACACTCCAAACTCCACACTCCTCACTTTACACTCCACACTCCACACTCTACACTTTCCACTGTCCACTCCACACTCCACACTCTACACTCCACACTTTACACTTTACAGTCCTCACTCCACACTCCACACTTTACACTCCGCACTCCTCACTTTGCACTCCGCACTCCACACTCCACACTCTACACTCCACCCCACACTCCACACTCTACACTTTACACTCCACACTGCACACTTTACACTCCACACTCTGCACTTTACACTCCGCATGCTACACTCCACACTCCACACTGCAGACTGGTAACAGGGGAAATATGTACAGCAAAAATGCACCAAATCTCAGGAATTCATCTTCGCGCAAGGTCGCGCAAGCTCAGTTTGAAAAATTGTCCGCGCGCAAGCTCTCATTGTGGTCGCGCAAGGATGGCGCAAGCAAGGATTTCGCGCAAGGATGAATAATTTCCATTCAGTTTTAATTGAAGTTTTGAACACCGCTCAAATAAACTATTGCAGAAAAGTGTTCTGCGTGATTGCATATCCATGTGTTTTGACATCTGTACCATTAACATACGTGTGAGCATTCGGGTTCGTGGGCTGCATCTTGTTGTTATATATATATATATATATAATATACATATTGTGCACATACATGTCTATATATATATATATATATCGCATGTATGTAATGTAATGTAATGTAATGTAATGTAATGTAATGTAATGTAATGCATGCATGGATGTATGTATGTATGCATGCCTGCATGCATGCATGTATGTATGTACGCAAATTGCCGACATATGTAAATACAAGTGTATATATATATATATGCATTAAGACATATGCTAATATACATATATGTATGTTGTGCACGTATCATAAATAACACTACATAATATGCAAATGATCTACTATGTGTATTGTATGCACAATCATTATCACATACATACACGGCATAAAACTATCTATGTATTACATCTTCGATGTATAGTGATTAGGTGATGTGTATGTTCCATATCACTATATCATGTAATACATTGTGTGTTTTAATCACTTGTAGACATGTGCGCAAAAACAGCACTGAACACATCTGTGAGTCTACCTGGCCAGTCTCTTCCTACCTTGCAGCAGGCCCCAATGACCGCGCTATGTGCAAAAAGGTCTGGTGCCGACAGCGCTTTCTGGAACCTGAGTGGTCAGCAGCGCCAACTGCAATGCAGGGAGGGTATAGGATATAGTGGGCGATTGTGGAATATCATTGCATATTCCAGGTTCCAGGATTCCACTTCAGTTTTGAGTGCCTTGCATCCATGAAGCATCAGTACCAGATCAATTGAAACCCAGTGTCAGCACGGCTGTTGGGATTTGGTTCATCCTATCTTTGATGATTGTCAAACAAAAAGAACGAGAACGCGTTATAAATCTAATCTACCATCCCTGGATGATTCTTATATACCGAAATAAGGAATATCCTGGAATATTCAACAATCATGTGACATCAAAAATTGGCATGTTCCTAAATGGGAACCCAAATTTATCCAAGTTTTTGGTCATCTTTGATAAGCTGACAAGGTTTTCGTTCCCCCAACCCTACACCCTACTAGTAAACATCCAATAGAAACCATGGTGAAATAGGGGATTTACAGAGATTTGGATCCATTTAGATCATGTTAGATCCACTGCAAGAAACCGCTGGGGTTGAGTTTCGAAAACTGCAGGACTCTTCTGGATTTATGATCTAAATTCTTTGGCGAATTTGTTTCTTAGAACTTAGAACGCTTCGAAAACATGTTTATTACTGGTCGTGGCAATCAAGGTTATAGATCCACTGAGTGGGAACTATCAACTGTCAGCCATTGTCAGCACATAGGCCAACAATCCACTTCTGCTTGTGAGGCCTAAGAACAAGCTCCTACCTCTGACACCCCACCCTGACGATGGAAAATGCACCCATGTATAGATGAATGCACAAAACAAATACACAGTTTATTTCAACTAGCCAGCTTTGTTTGTTTAACTTGGATTTGCTGAAGTATCTCCCCAAAATAATGGTAATAAAAATCACATTCCTTAATTACAGATTCCCAAGTGGATTTCCCATTGGTTAAAGGATGGTGCTCCCATGATTTAGTAGGTATACCAGGCATCCCAACAGTAGCAATGCCGTTGCCCAAGCAGACGATTTCTCGCAGGACTCGCGGTGCCGGGCTTCTGGTAGTTTTGGTGGCAAAGATACCCTCCAGTCAAAGATGGCAGGAAATCCCCCGAACTACATGGTGCACGACCCCCAGACAGCCGTGGTAAATTCTGCATTCTGACATCTGAAAAAAGTGTCTGGCGTTGTGGCGCCGTATTGATATTTTAGGTGTGAAAATCAGGGTTTTGGAATTTCACAAAACTACTTTTTTTTGCACAACATCTGCTGGACACTGGCCCTATTTTCTTCCATGGTTTCAGCGGACTTGTTTGGCGGCTTTGCCCAACCTTGCAAGGAAGACACTTGGCTGACACGGTCCCAGGAGCTTTTGCCACATGAACTGCTGAACTAATTTGTTCAGCTCAGGATGTTCTTTCACTTGGTTGTGGCAGCCAAGACGTCTAGGAAAGCTACTTGGAATGAATTTCTTCAAGCAACCTGCAGCAGAAGCAGGATAAGTCTATATATAATATACCTGTAACAGATACAGGACAAGAATATCAAATATATGCATATAATAAAATGAAGTACAACAGTAATATGGTCGTATTAAATGGAGGCAGGCACATCAAAACATGTTAGAGGCCTAGCATCATGAGCGTGTCTGCATTTCCAAGAACCTGTTAGAAGCAGAGCATCAAGAGCGTGTCTGAAGTTTCAAGAACCTGTTAGAAACGTAGCATCACGCGCGTGTCTGCAGTTCCAAGAAACTGTTTGAAGCGTAGGATCACGAGCGTGTCTGGAGTTACAAAATCCTGTTAGAAGTGTAGCATCACGAGCGTGTCTGAAGTTTCAAGAACCTGCATAGCATCACGAGCGTGTCCGCAGTTCCAAGAACTTGTTAGACGCGTCGCATCACGAGCGTGTCTGAAGTTCGAAGAACCTGCTAGAAGCGTAGAACCACGAACGTGTCTGACGGTCCAAGAACGTGTTAGAAGATACAAAGAAGCGCGCGACAAGAACGTTATTACACCCCCCCCAGCCCTCCCCCACCCCCCCGCAACCCCCCCAACCCCAGAAATATATGTCAAAACACAAAAGACGCGGCATGAAAAATGTCAAAAACCACACATAAAACCACAAGGCCCAGTAGGGGTCGTGCTCCAACTACATGCAGGTCTTTATGGAAAGAAAAACATGTAAATGCTTGATTTTCCATCAAACCATGTTTGATGACACCGGAGGGTATGGAAATTAGCAAGCCATCAAAGATGGGAACTTGTAATTAATTGCCATTTGGATTTCTCCAAAAAGGTGGATTTACTCATGTCAACTAGGGCCATTTGGGTTTGACATGGTTTGATGTTGGGAAAAACCCTGATTCCACTGGATTATCATCATTATCTCCACAATTTGGTTCTTTGGATTCATCCACCCTTTTCGGAACCCCATACTTATCATACAGATCTCACCAAGAGAAGGAAACACCCCATCCCAACCAACAACCATGTTGTTGTCAGTTGGGATATGGTGGGATCATCAAAGAGTATGATTTCTATGAATGAAGCCACGAATCCATTCATCGTCCCATTGATTTCTGCTTTCCAAACTCTATATTAAACCATATTAAACTGCTATTCCATGATTGGATGCTGTGCCTGTTGGAGCCCCCCGTCCTTTGTCGACTTTGAACCAACCAACCATATTAAAACCCCACCAGCAATCCGTTTCCCTCAGATCTCTCCACTGCAACACGTGGAACTTTAGAACCCGACGCTGAGGAGAGAATTGACGCTGGTCGCTTCACTCTGCAGGCTCTGGTGCTGAAGGGCCTGGGGGTACCCTGAATCAATGGCAATGGCCAAAAAATGGATGTACAGTCATACAGTCCACCTTTTTTGTGGGGATAGAATAGGATATCACAGGATTAAGAACGTTTGGAGAGATATTAAAAGCACAAAAAATAATTACCCCATATTTCATGAACATTTTGCTGGGATATGAGAATGAGACTTAGATGAAACATGTGAGGTGAGAAAAAATATGATGAGATCAAGGAACAAAAAATACGATCAAATTGATGGTACAACCAGGACGAAATCAAGAAATCAGAAAAGATCCTCCTGGATTCGGATTTCTCGATAATTGTTGGTTCCTTTTTGCCCAGCCATCGCAATGTAGGTATTTGTTTGGAGTGGATAATGAACTCAACATGTTTCGGGGCCGCATCCCCCATTCCAGGCCAGGACCAAGTGCCTGAAGTCTGGGATACACATCCCATTTTTGCCATTGGTGTTTCACCACGTAGCCATCCAACAACCAGCCATGCCATGCACACACACACACACGAGGGTCTGGTGACCGCGTGGTTTTCGCATGTTTGATTGTGTTTCTACATTTTGATGCTTCAATCATGAGAAACTACTGATGAAAAAGTTGGAAACAATATATGAATAATGATGAAACCACAGTAAACGTAATGATTCGTAACCAAACGAATCATTCCCATGATGGAGAGGAACAAGATAAGGAACATCTCCATCAGTCGCCTGGAAGATCTGCGAAGCTCGTCTCCAGTGCGCCATCGAACTGAGGACCTGCAGACCGAAAAAAAATGCAGAAAGTTAACAATATATGATATGTATATATATATATGTAAGATCCTTTAAATAGATCAAATTTCTAATAAACTGGTTGACTATATATCTAGTAATTAGCAGTAAAAGTAATAACACTATTTAACATTTTGATCTATTTAAATATACGAGTGTATATATATATATAGATATAGGTTGGACAAATGGCAATATGAACGATATGTTTATAGTCGTGTTTATAGTCAAATAGGTTCACATAATGTACAGTATCTGGGTGTATGTACATGCATTCATCTATAATTGGACAGTATGTACATGCAATGTGTATATATATATATATATTTACGTATACATACACATACACATAAAATGAAAAATCATATGAACATGTATATAGGGTAACCCCCACTTAAAACTCATTCTTGGGGCATGGCTCAAACACTTCATTTCGGCATTTGGACGGGGAGGGCACCAGGGGTTTCAACTATTGTCTGTGTCTGTCCAAAATGAGGTACACGATGATGCACTGGATTTGGGGCTACAGAATTTTCGGACAAAACCATTTGGGTCAGTGAAAAGCATACCCTCCTTTATAGTGGATTTTCCCATTAAAAATTGTGATTTTCCATAGTTATGTTAGTTTACCAGAGGGTAATTAGACCTGGAAAATCGTCTATTGCATTTCCAACGCATGTTCCCCTCTACTTGAAACCACAGGCTGGGTGGAAACCAAAAAAAGGGTTCCGCAACTACACATGGCACCGGCCGGTTGTTTTAAGCAAACGTGTGGTACCAATAAGGATTCAATAAGCAAATGCAACAAACATACCCTTCTGGTAATGTAACATAGTAAAGGACAGTCACCATGTTCAATAGGTAATTAATCTGTTAATACAACGCGTTTGGCACCAAAAAAAATATATATTGAGAAATCCAAAGGAAAATAAACGGTTTTCGTTCCAACATGTTCCGTCCAACCCGGACGTTGCTACACACTGACAATCATCATCATCATCACCATCACCATCATCGTCGTCATCATCATCATGATCTCATCATAATCATAATCATCATAATCATGATCTAATGATCATGATGATCTCATCGTCATCATGATCATGATCTGGCCATCGTCATCATCATCATGATCTCATGATCATGATGATCTCATCGTCATCATGATCATGATCTGGCCATCGTCATCATCATCATCATCACCATCACCATCATCATCATCATCATCACCATCATTACCATCATCATCACCATCATTACCATCGTGGTCATGATCATGATGATGATGATCATCATCAAAATCATCACCAGTGTCTGCTCATGTGGACTGGCGTAATACCATCAACTTAAATGTATTATATTCAAAAGGAATCAAAAAATATGTTGAATGGTGTAATCACATCAACTTATCTTCATGACGGATCAACAAATCCACCAGCCCCCTCTGACAAATATGTTGAAGAAGGAATAAAATCAACTTATCTTCATAAGGGATCAACATCCGCCACCCCGTCTGACAAATATGTTGAATAAGGAATGGAATAGCATCAACTTATCTTCATAAGGAATCAACATATCCACCACCCCTATGACAAACATGTTGAATGGGGTCATAAGAAATCAACATCCGCCACCCCCTCTGACAAGTATGTTGAATAAGGAATAACATAAATTTATCTTCATAAGGGATCAAACATCCCCGACCCCCTCTGGCAAATATGTGAAATGGAAACCAAAACACATCCACTTATCTTCATGAGATATCAACATCCGCCACCCCCTATGAAAGACATGTTGAATGTGGTAATCACATCAACTTATCTTCAAAAGAGATCAAGCTCCCACAACCCCCTATGACAAATATGTTGAATGTGGTAATCACATCAACTTATCTTCATAAGGGATCAAAAAACACCCCCTATGACACATATGTTAAATTGGGTAATCGCATCCACTTGTCTTCAATAAGAGATCAACATCCACCACCCCTCTGACAAAGATGTTGAAACAGGAATAACATCAACTTATCTTCACAATGGATCCAAAAATTCACCACCAATATGCTGAATCTGATAACAGCATTACCTTATCGTCATAAGGGATGATGGTGATGATGATGATGATGATAATGATGATGATGATGATGGTCATCATGGATCACATATACATCTATATACATTGAAAGTCCACCGACATGGCGTTTCAAAAATGCGCAACCCTTCCACAATTCCGGGGCGGAGCAACGTCAGGGTTGCAGCGAACATGTTTATATAAATACAATAAATAGGTTGGGATGAACAAACAAACAAAATTACGTTTTGGGCTACTTCATGAATTCAAACTCAAGTGGTGTCCCCACATGTCTATCATCCTTGCAACCAGTTGGTTCATAAAAGTTCTCACAGTGGAGTTGAAGAAAATAATGCATTAGTACAACCTGTGTTTTTGTGGGTGTTTTTGCTGAAATGTCTCATGTACGACCCAGGTTTCAGCATCTGATGAAGAAAATCTCTGGTCCACCGGGCGGTTACTGCTCCAGGGTCCCCTGGCAGTATTGAAACTGATGACGTCTGGGGGCACCTGGAAGGCATTGTCATGGTGGCCGTGATGATTCATGTGCTAAGATAGCAACTGATAGCAGATATGTGTATACGTAATATAATATACTGTAATATACTCTATATATATATATATTTATACACATTTAATATAGCCATCAGTCTAGAGTAGCTAAAATGTGAAGGTTTCAAAAAGATTCCCATTTTATTCCATTTTAATCAGTGATGATTTTTCGACATTCCCACAGTCCATCTGCATATAATGTTGGCTCCTGATTAGTAGCTAGGGTCGCTATTGTGGCAATTTTTCTCCCAAAAGAACCAATCCCTTATTAAACCCTTATTAAAGAACAGCTTTTCCACAATTTTCCAAGGCCCTGGACCAGGATAGGTTCCATTTCACTTTAGTAGGTTTGTTTGCTGGGTTCACTATTGCAGCAAGCTGTGCCAGAGCAGCTCCTGGAAGCCCAGAAGAGAAGCAAGCCTTTTCCAAAGGCAATTGCCAAATTCAAACTCCAAGCCTTTCCCAAAGGAGCTAATCCCTTATTAAACCCTTATTAAAGAACAGCTTTTCCACAATTTTCCAAGGCCCTGGACCAGGAGAGGCTTCATTTCACTTTAGTAGGTTTGTTTGCTGGGTTCACAATTGCAGCAAGCTGTGCCAGAGCAGCTCCTGGAAGCCCAGAAGAGAAGCAAGCCTTTTCCAAAGGCAATTGCCAAATTCAAACCCCATGCCTTTCCCAAAGGAGCCAATCCCTTATTAAACCCTTATTAAAGAACAGCTTTTCCACAATTTTCCAAGGCCCTGGACCAGGGGAGGCTCCATTTCACTTTAGTATAGGTTTGTTTGCTGGGTTCACTATTGCAGCAAGCTGTGCCAGAGCAGCCCCTGGAAGCCCAGAAGAGAAGCAAGCCTTTTCCAAAGGCAATTGCTAAATTCAAACTCCAAGCCTTTCCCAAAGGAGCCAATCCTTTATTAAACCCTTCTTAAAGAACAGCTTTTCCACAATTTTCCAAGGCCCTGGACCAGGAGAGGCTTCATTTCACTTTAGTAGGTTTGTTTGCTGGGTTCACTATTGCAGCAAGCTGTGCCAGAGCAGCTCCTGGAAGCCCAGAAGAGAAGCAAGCCTTTTCCAAAGGCAATTGCCAAATTCAAACTCCAAGCCTTTCCCAAAGGAGCCAATCCCTTATTAAACCCTTATTAAAGAACAGCTTTTCCATAATTTTCCAAGGCCCTGGACCAGGAGAGGCCCCATTTCACTTTAGTAGGTTTGTTTGCTGGGTTCACTATTGCAGCAAGCTGTGCCAGAGCACCCCCTGGAAGCCCAGAAGGGAAGCAAGCCATTTCCAAAATTGCCAAATTCAAACTGCAAGCCTTTCCCAAAAGAACCAATCCCTTATTAAACCCTTATTAAAGAACAGCTTTTCCACAATTTTCCAAGGCCCTGGACCAGTAGTGGCCCCATTTCACTTTAGTAGGTTTGTTTGCTGGGTTCACTATTGCAGCAAGCTGTGCCAGAGCAGCCCCTGGAAGCCCAGAAGGGAAGCAAGCCATTTCCAAAATTGCCAAATTCAAACTCCAAGCCTTTCCCAAAAGAACCAATCCCTTATTAAACCCTTATTAAAGAACAGTTTTTCCACAATTTTCCAAGGCCCTGGACCAGGAGAGGCTCCATTTCACTTTAGTAGGTTTGTTTGCTGGGTTCACTATTGCAGCAAGCTGTGCCAGAGCAGCCCCTGGAAGTCCAGAAGAGAAGCAAGCCTTTTCCAAAGGCAATTGCCAAATTCAAACTCCAAGCCTTTCCCAAAGGAGCCAACCCCTTATTAAACCCTTATTAAAGAACAGCTTTTCCACAATTTCCCAAGGCCCTGGACCAGGAGAGGCTCCATTTCACTTTAGTAGGTTTGTTTGCTGGGTTCACTATTGCAGCAAGCTGTGCCAGAGCTACAAGTACTACAAGTACTACAAGTACTACAAATACTACAAGTACTACAAGTACTACAAGTACTACAAGTACTGCAAGTACTACAAGTACTACAAGTACTACAAGTACTACAAGTACTACAAGTACTACAAGTACTACAAGTACTACAAGCACTACAAGCACTACAAGTACTACAGTACTACAAGTACAAGTACTACAAGTACTACAAGTACTACAAGTACTACAAGTACTACAAGTACTACAAGTACTACAAGTACTACAAGTAATGCAAGTACTACAAGTACTACAAGTACTACAAGTACTACAAGTACTACAAGTACTACAAGTACTACAAGTACTACAAGTACTACAAATACTACAAGTACTACAAGTACTACAATTACTACAAGTACTACAAGTACTACAAGTACTACAAGTACTACAAGTACTACAAGTACTACAAGTACTACAAGTACTACAAGTACTACAAATACCACAACTTCATCGGCAAAAAAAACAATAGTAATTAGATGAGGGTATGTTTTTCTTTTGGGAATAAAATTTTTCATTTTCTACTTTAAAGAGAGTCCAGATATAGTTAAGGGAGGGGGGGGGCACACACTAATCAGGAACCAACATTACATACATTATCATACATTATTATAATAATTCCATTTGACGCTGGACCCACTGCTTTTCATGATATTCAATTCAACCTTCTGTCTGCACATGTCTTTTTTCCGAGACTGGTACCACTTGGCGGACAACCGGTGGAATCAAAAATATGGAAACGCTCCTGCCAGTACCAGGCTTGATATTTAAAAAGGAGATATACTCCAAATGATTAAATCTTCTGGGGAAAGGCCAGACTGCTTATTGTGCCCATTTTTTGCATAGATTTTTGGAAGTTATTGGCTCCTGTTGGGAAGGCACACATGGTTTTTCCATGCTTTTCCTGTTCCAGTCTTTTTCTCACTGGTGATGTCACCCCGTCCAGAACACAACAACACCATCAAGAAACGCTTTTAAATTTTTAACATCCAAAATATCATCCAACAGATATGCCTATGCTTTTCACAATGTTAAACAGTGAAAAATCATGGTTGAACCGTTGAACCAAGCCTTCCATCCCAGGTCCATCGAAATTCAAGGGGCTCCCAAGTGCTGCATCTCCGCCAGGGAAGAAGCCGCACACCTCGTCGAGATCTGTGTCGGGCTCTGTTGGGGTATCCCATGCATAGTGAGGAAAACGCAACAAACATGGGATATCATCAGACTTCATGGGATATAAATGGGATATCACTTGGGTGACTTGGGTGTAAAAACAAGCAAAGTGGGATAATGAGAGGGTTGCTGGTAGAGAATATGAGAGAATGGTATATGGGTGGGGTAGAAAACCAACTACACTTAGGATATCATGATGTATAACAGCAACTATAATGGGATACTAAATGAGACAAACCCTCTGGCAGTTTGACGCAGCTATGGAAAATCGACAATTTTAGTAGGTATACCAGGTAAATCATCCTAATTCATCTGGGACATTTTCCGTATAATATTCATATATGTAACCACCTTTAAGTGACGGTTGCCATGGGTCTACACTGTTATTCAAAAGGGAGATTTTGTCTTCCAACGGCAATTCAGAATGCGTTTAACCACTCAATGATTTCACAAACTCAACATGGTGGCGATAGAAAATCCCTGCGGACTCCAGTCATGGGGAGGTGACATGGACTGGAAAATTCCACAAAGTTTTTGTGGAGGTTTCCTTAGTCATGGGGGATACCCAAACCATAGGTTTCAATACTAAGTTGGGGTCATCCAGTTTTGAAGGTCCCATGAGGTCCCAATGCTAACTTCTCTCTCTTTTTTTTATCCAAAACTAGGAAAGTGATGATACCACTTGCAAAGAACCTTGTGAATTTCTTTCTTTTTCCAGCAAGAAGGACAGAGGCGTCTCAGAGTTACTGTTGAAAACAACCAACCAAACAAAATTGGTTTTAACAAACTGGTACAGTATCTACTCAAACGATGGTTTGAATCAACTTGAAGTGTGAGAGACAGAACCAAAACAACTGATTTTGAAACAGCTAGAGCAACGGATTTTGAAACATGTACAAAATTATGTAAATTGTTTTTCCTCGACTAAAATGAAGGAAGAAGCAAGGGGAGGCAATCAATTTAGTCATGCCTGCTTTGGGGCGGCTCACTCTCTCCATGGCTTTTGATTGGTTACATAGGCCCATAGGCTCCTCCTCCCCATATTCCCATGGTATGGTCAGAATCATCGATGATTTCCATGAGCCTCCAGGAGCTCGCTCGTTCTGCAGCACAGATGGCACAGTTGTAGTGAATGATATTGATCTGGCTGAGGTGCCCCAACTGTTGGGATGGCTGGGATATCATATCCACAGAGATAGCCTAGCCGCCTAGCCATCGGTTTATCAAAGATTGAAATGGAATCCGAATCCTTCATGGACACTAATATAGGAAACTCATCAATCAAAGTGTTCCATAGTCAGCTGACTGAAAAAATGGCAGGTTAGATTGCTGACAGTTCCCCCCATTGTTGCCTTTAGATCCCTGTGTTCGATATGGAGATAGGATAGAGATCAATGCCTATGAGACCATCTGGATGCGCACTGACATATCTCATCATATCTCAGCGCGATGCCTCTCAGCACTCTCCGTTTGTTGTAACAGTTTTCTCTATCAGATCATAAACAATATTGAGATGTGACATCTCCACTTTGAGTTCACCCTTTACCTATGCCAATTATATCCTATTATTATATTAAGCATTGTTGAGGCCCATATTTGTCCTATCAATGCCGGACAATCGCATGTCGGCCTGAAAGTGGTCCATTTGAGTAAGCGTCCCTATGAGTTGTTTCACATTGACAGTAGCTGATGTAGCTGGATTCCAACCAGAAAATGGAACATGTTGGAGAATACTGAGCATAAAACAAGTCCAAACAGAATGCTCAGACCGGAAAAAAATACTTTACCAAACATATACCAACCATTTACCAAGTTTCAGAGATCTAACTTTCCATTGGCTTCGAAGACCCCCAGAAGTTCCACCTCCCAACCTCAAGTTCTTCATGTCGAAGGAAGCGTAAGAGCCGCTGGGCTTCAGAAAAGGCTCTTCCCTTGACCTCGGCGGAGCACCCAGATATGTTATATGATATGTATTTTTTAACGATATATGATGTTATATAATGTTGTTCTATCATGTTGTTATGAAATGATTATAGTTTATAATGTTATTCAATGTTATTCAATGTTGTTCTTATATGTTCTTATTTCTTTTTGATCTTGCTTGAACCCAATGGAGGAATAGAAGGACCCCTGCGAACTTGGCACAGGCTTGGTGCGCTTGAAGCAGGCCGAGAAGCCGCTGCAAAGCCGCAACGAAATCCGCCCGCACGCATTAACCGGAAGTAATTGCAATCGCTATTGAGCTTTAGCTTGGGGGGGGCGAGTGCTAGAATCCTGTGTTTTTCATTGTTTTTCCACGTTATGTTTTTTTAAGGCACCTAAAATCGGCTAAGTATGCTAAGGTGCCAAACTTGGGCTCAACATAGGCCCAACATGGCCCTGTTTTGCCCGTGCCACAATCGCATTGCTGTAGCTCCGAGAACAGGCAGTCAACTGCGATGACATCAACCCAAAGCAAGTGTTGAACGTTAAACATCCATTGGCTATGGGTCAAAACCCCGGTACCCTGATAGAGAAACATCGAAATGGCTGGTAAATGGATGTTACAATATATATATATATATATCATTATAACCTGGTATAACAGGTTAGTTTTATGATGTTTTATGCCGGTATGAAGTTTCCTGCTGGGTAATTGCCTCACTGAAATTGACATTTGTACCAACCATGCACCAGTTGACGCATAAATTGTACAAGGCACCAAGACTTGCAAGACCTCGGTGAGGCTACTCGGTTGCGACTGCCACCTACGCCATGAGGCACGTGGTGTTTCCGAATGGGAGCCGCGGAAGCCAAGTTATCATCCAAATGGAACTGGTCACTTTCTTGGGAAACCAGTGGTCGGTGAGATCGGTGAGGTAGTCCTAGGATACACCATGATAGTGGCATCCTGGATGACCATCCACGAACCTTTGGGAACATACTCCATTTATATAATATTCACATATATTCACCATTTAACATCACATACAATATCCTACCTCTAAGGACAATCAGTTGCCAAACAACAAAAATCATCAAAAACCCATATCATGTCCTTTTTTTCCCGTGTAACATCTGTAATCTCCGATATTTTCATATCCCATGATTTATATCGCATCTGACATCCCATATCAATGACCATGTCATATCACATTCAGCGATCTCATGACCTTGGCAGCAAAGGAAGCAGTGAGCTTCGAGGTATCTCCTGGATGGCGCACGTGGCGCACGGCACCCCATGGCGCATCCTCCGGATGGAAAAACGGGGCGTATAAAATCCCATTATTCCTCATGGAAAATCCCCATGAATCCTCCCTAATATTAGTTAAAATCCCTTGAAATTGCTATACTAGTTGGTATCCAAAACATATTCTCATGTCTATCGTGGTTCATGTATTAATCTATTTATAGCAGAAAAACATAAAGTACTGAACTACCAATCGAAGACATTTATCAAATAACAACTAGGCATTGTACACTGTAATCCAATTGGATTTCAGTGGTGCTCTACTGCATATCACTCATCCTCAGGCTCAGGGTATGTCACTATGAGGGAACATGGCAAATCCAACTCTTCGAATCTTGACTTCATGAAGATCTACCAAGCCTAAGATATAAGATAGTAAGATGGTCAAGTGACTCCGCTATAATCAACTGTTTTTGCAACATATCTTCTTTCCGCGGCTGGCATTGCTCTTATTTTCCGCCCGTTTCAGAAGGGTCGTCAGCATCTAGGCCCACTTTGCTGCTTGACGCGCGTGTTTCTTGGCACCGGCTTTGGTGGCCGCCATGATCCTTGTCGCATCCAACGAATCGGTGGCGCAGACACAGTACCAGGTGGTGCCCCAGTAGCTGACATGACTGTTGGGTTTATGGTTGATGGTTTATAAACCAACAAACACCACTGGAGGACCAGCAACCGTAGTTGGTTTATGAGCAAGGTATCATTGGATCACAGGGTTCCGAAACGGGCCCAAAACTAGGCCACCAGCCATTTCGTGGTAATTTTTGGCATTGATTTCTGGTGGATGGATGTAAACAAATGTATGTATATACATCCTTGGAGAAAGTAATCACCTATAGAAACTGCAATCCCTCTCTCTAGTAGTGACAACTAGCTGTAAGGAACCTAAGGCCCCTGATGGGTCGCATGACTTCTGCCAGAGGCTGCTGCACAAGCATCCCCTGAAAAGCTTCGCTCTTCCTGCAAGCGATTTTGATTCTTGGGACATCTTGGGTGTGGAATCTCCGGCTGTGGATGTTGAGAACCCCAGGTCATTTTGGATTATGACATGACTGCTTTCAATTAACTTAGTTTTTCCCCAATAGAACATTGAACTTGGGAAATGTGATGAAAAAATGTCACAATTTCCATGTATTTCCGACTTACTTTTTTCCACACGTGACTATCATTTCTGTATACGTTCGATGCTTTGTGCTCCATGTTGCCAACCCAAATCACCCAACTGGGGGCATCAATGGACATCACAACCCACGAATCTGGCCCTGAAACCGAGCCACTTGAGAGAGCTGAACTCCTTGAGGCTCCAGGTAAACTCGAAGCCCTTCTTCCTAGGCACCACTGTAGCTTCAGGATCTTTCACTAAGAAAGTCTCCTGGGTTGGAACGTGAAAGCACCATTTAAGTTTACCAGTAAATCCTCCAAGTTGTTTCCCAGAGAGAATGTCTACTTCGAATGGCGTGGTTGCTTAGAAACCAAGGCTTAACAACCCGACTTCCCAAGTTCCCACAGATTGGTTAGTCCTTCAAGCATTGGGTGGTTCTTGCCACCAATAAAAGACATGGGTTTCCCCACAGAAAACGAATCTTGGCGCATTGGGTGCAAACTATGTCAACATGTGAGACGTAATTTTTATATATTTTCATGGATTAATATGTCGCCACATATAGCCACATTGTAATCCAGATAGGGAAAAAACAAGGAAAAATGGAGCCATCCACCTGATCAAAGTCACTTCAGACTCCGTCACCTAGTTACTACCCTTGCGCAGCCTGGTGTCCGGGCGTTGTGTGCCACGTAGCTGCAAGGTCCACAATTGATGTAGGGATCAGTGGAACGCGGTCGGATGAAGAGAATCACCTGCCTGATGAAAGTTATCAAACAAACGGCTGTAGAGGAGTGGCTGTGCAATGAGATTATATATATATATAATATGTATAACACACATGCAGCAATATACATGTGTATATATATATATGCATGTATATATATATATATACATAAATCATATATATATATATACTATATGACTATATATACAGTATGATGAGATGCATCATATTATATGTACATAATTCTATATGTGCTATTGCTTGTCACATTATGATATGCATATAAATTGCATATATATATTATATAGACGGTATACGTACTATAAATACATATGTATGTGATCAAATATTATGTAAAAAGTACGTACGTGTCTTTGATGCAGAATACATAAACATGTACATCCTAATGGTTCGAAAGAAGAACTGCATCCCCTTCGGCGGCTACTGAAACATTGCTGGTTCTTGCTTTCGAGTCAACTCATCGAAAGATATGAAACAAAGTGGAAAAAAGGTGTTTCCAGATGCTTCCAGGATGGTATAGATGATATTTTTGTTTCTGTCTATTTGGGGCTTGCTAAATGATTCATCATTCAAAAAACCAAGGGAACATGTTTTCGGTGCGATGACTCCACCAAAATGTCGAAAAAAGCGGAGCCAGGCGACGTATCTCGCTGCAGAGCGAGCAAACGTCTCACCACGGGGGAACGTTCCGTGGGGTTTACACCGCCCACGTACCAGTTGATCTGCTGGCCTGGGATCTGAAGCCATGGTAACTACCCCAGGAACCCAAACATGTTGGTCGATTGTATTCAAATGTATTTGACCAGTTTTAATAATACAAATACATGTTTGGAGGAATGAAGGAAGTGTAAGTATGTATGTAAATTGATGTATATATGTCATATATATATATATGTATATAATTATATATATATATATATCTATATGACATACGTATATATCTTAATCATTTTGAAATCTTCTGTGTCAATGGTTACTGTATCTATCAAAACAGCACAACTGGAATGGTCCCAGTCCTCAAAGATGGGAATTGGAAATCTTGTCCAAAAAAAAGTCTATGCTTGGATTGCAACGGATTGGATCTCCTTAAAAGAGCATTCAATGGCTCCAAATCAATGGCGACTTGACGCTACAACTGATGCTTCAGATGCTTCACTCCAGGCAAGTGACTTAAAAAACCGGTTATAAGTAGCAAGTGGACTCCTACTGAGCCCATTGAAAAAGCCAGCGTCATGACCTACTTACGATTCGTGGGATGAGCCACCAAGTCTCTTTGTCGTACTTCGAAATCCCATGGTGTCGATAATTCTTCTCCCAATCATTTTCCCTATGAACATCACCATTTTGCCATATTTTGCCTGTCCTTTTACTGGAGATTCAATTCCCCATGTTCAAACAGTTTGGTGATCTGGCCTTAGTTATCAACAAGCCGAGACATTTGGACGGCCTCCGTTGGCGAAGGCATTGTCAAAGCTGCCACCCACTGCATTGACCCACAGAAAAATGGCCTCAACTGGTGTGATTTTTCCCATCCAACGGGGAGATTTTTTTGGAGTCGAAACGCACATCTCAGCACGATTTTCGAAGTGAACAATCCACATCATTCGTAATTTATTGGGCTGTTCGCCAAGGTGGGGGAACAAACCCATGCCCATGTATCATCGTACATCCAATTTTTAGGCTACTTGTATGGTGCAAAAAATGTATTTTTTTCTCTGAACCCATCCATTTTGGAATACCGACATGACCCACACCCAACTTGGGCTCATTTTTTGAGCAAATTCCAATCTCCCCTTGGACCCCGAGAACAATGATATAATCTTCCCAAGAGTCTTCCTACATGGTGGATGCACCAATGGAAAGTAAACACATATTTGTCAAAAGGTAGAAACATGTCAATAAATCCTGAAATCTAAAATAATGTGGTAAAACCAAATATAACCATCCACCAGCCATCTGGGGTTCAGTTTAGAGTGTCCCAAATAGGGGTGTATACCCAATCATGAGCACTTTGTTGGGGATGGTCTTGGGTTTACCTCCAGAAACTCCATGATCCATCGCCACAACAATCAGTGGCGAAGCGGCGTTCTGCCACTCCACCCAGCCAGCGTATTTGTTGAAGCGCGGTGGTGCTGATGCTTCCCCGTCACCTCCATGTTTTCATGGTGTTGGAAACCCATTAAGCCTATGATGGTGTTTAAACCAAAGGCACAGGGCATTTCACTCCACGTGAACCTGGGTCTCACCATCAAAATAGTACTAGTAGGAGATGAACTGTGTATATATATATAATTCTATATCTTTATATTATAGTAAATCTTATATGTGTATCATATAATATTATATATCCCAGAAAATCCCAATGACTCATTTCACCCTTGGCTTCATTGCAGCACGCCTTGACTTTGCTGCGCAAAGAACTCCACCACGCCGCGTTTGCCGAAATGCGGACATGCCTTGCCTGGAGCCAAAACAGTTAAGGTCAGCTGGTGATTGAACCACCAACGGTCAAAATCAACGCTTGGAAAGGCCACGCTACTGTTTGGAAGGTACGCTACTGTATACCTAAGTGGATCATTGTTATCATTTGATTGGGTAAACAAAAAACTATAAGGTATACCATGGTATACCTATATAAGGTTATACCTAATATAACTTACAAGCACACTTTTTTTAAGCAGTTGCGTTTCAGAAGCGGTCCTCCGTTAAGTTGGGATGCAGTTCAGGTTGCGGCTCTGGTTCGCAAGATATGACCAGCCCGCGAATTGTCGAAAAATCTCATTGAAATCAGATTTCAAATCAGAATGGTATTTGAACTCTTCATGTTATGATTTACCGATTTACCCATTGATGATTTAAGGATAGTTACGGATAGTTTGCTTATCACGTCGTTGATCGTTAAACACTGGGAAGTTTTGAGTATCCATGCCGCGCCTTGCCCGCTGGGAAATGATCTTCAAGGATGTGATGAATGATGGATTGGTAAAAACCGGTGGTCTTAATTTTAATGGTAAAAACATGTAAAACAAACCATGGCTAAAACCATTGGTTTCCTGTAGATAATGTTCCCTTAAACCAATCCAATGAATGATGGATTTTCTTGGATTTGTACTGACGACTTTCGAGTGGCACCTCGAAATCGTCGCAGTGCATTGATGTCGGCCTATCCGATTATCCGAGTCCCCGAGGGCCGATTGCATGGAACTTGGAACGAGATTGGAATGTAGTCACGAACTTCGCAAAATCCCAGAAATCCCCATGACGGATCCATGGTGCTGCTATATCTGGTGCTCCATGGATCCCATCAATGTCAGCCCCATATATGTTAGCATATATAGCAGCACCATGGATCCGTCATGGGATATGGAACGGGATTCGGAAATTCATGGCCTCATGAATCATGGTTTTGACGAACACCCACGTTTTGTACATTCTTCACGTGCAGCCGATCATGTTCCACGCCAGACATCCCGTGTCTATGATCTGGGGTCCCCGAAGCTCACACCAACAGGGCACATACAAAAAGAACGTCCTGCGTCCTAAATCCACACACATTCCAAGTGTGTCAAATAGCAAAACAAATGCGTTCTAAGTCTAAGCCTATCAAATACCAGCCAGATAATTTTGGGACGTTCTCACAATGAGAAATGATTTTGTGCGTTAAATTGTAAACACTAGTTCAAAGTGGGTGTACGTCACTATACAGTAGAAATTCAGACCACCAAGATCCATTGCCCTTTCTCAACAAGACATGCTTAATCTTTGGGTCACATATTGTTCTCCAAAACTTGGCACTTTGACAACTACCATCAAGTCTCTCCAAATGAAACTGCAAAAAAGAGAACACTGTTCATCAATCTTCAACAAAAACACACATCAAAATAGGCTTTGGAAGACTGTCCTGTTCAACATTGCCATGAAGTTCATCAATTTACCCTCTGGTAATTTAACAGTTTGCTATTGAAAATGGCCCAGTCGAAATAGTGGTTTTCCCATAAATAAAATGTGATTTTCCATTGTTTTTTGTATGTTTACCAGCGGGTATTGGAATTTCCCCAGTATGGTGCCCCAGTATGGTTTTCCCCAGGTGACCTTGGCGGAAATCGAACATAGCTATGGTGATACATCCAAAAATACCCAAAAAAAACATATCCCAAATGCTACAAAAAAAATATGGTGATATTTTTTTGCATCCCAATTATAGCTATATCATAGTATGCGATCATAATCATAGCATAAAAAATAGCTATATTAGAGCTATATGATCTATATTAATCTATATGTCAAATAACCTGAGGTTAATCTATATTAATCATATTAATTCCACTGAACCCCCCCACCTTCAAGGTCTTGGTGCTCTTCCCCGTGGCCGGCCGCTGCAGCATCATCTCGGCGAGGCGCCTCGCTGTCGCAAGGCAAGCCCAGGGGGATGAAACAACGATGAAAGCTAGGAAAAATGGACCAAGAAACGGCATTGAAACGGCATGATTTCAATGCATTTCACATCATTTCACCACTAGACATGGATAGAAATGATGGAATTTGGATGGAATTTGATGATCAGACATAAGGATTTGACCAACACATAAAAAAAATGACGCAAACAATAGGGGAGTTTAATTGTTTCATCATATTTAAGCTGCAAACATGGAGCTTTCTTCAGCAGGATCACTTCAGGTGAGGTTTCAAAATCCCATTGCATAAATGGGACACTGAGCTGGTCGATCAGGCAAGGGTGAACCACCAGCCTACAGGATTATGATTGATACATCCAAGAAAACCCGTTGCGGTTCAAATCCGTTTGCATCACAAAGGCTCTCAGTGGGCCCAAAAAGACATAGATCAATAAGAATCCATACAAGTACCTATAATGACACCTCCAAACACAAGCGTGGATTAAATGGCTTTCCCACAGTGGAATCTCAACTGTTCTCTATTTTTTTAGGGGCTCCACAAGTGAAAGTGCAATATATAAAGGTGTGTGCTGTTAGGTAGACGAACGTCCTAGGTTGTGATTTATAATATGTAATTGGGTTCTTGATATTTATGGATTAATTATAAACATCATAGAATATCTACGCTAGCCATATAGACAATCATTGTTGGGCAGCATGAGTTTATCCTAAAATTGAGGACACTGTAGCTCTAAATGAACTGATGAACCATAAAAATTGGTGCTGGGAAAGTGCATCCATGGTTGCTGGCAATGGGTAGGACCCGGACCTGGTGTCTCTGACCCGCAAGCGGGCGCGGGCACTGGGGGGTGCTCGGCTGCGGGCCACCATAGCTATGGACTACGGAATCAGATGTAGAAAATCACTGTGCAGTTGTGCTGTGGTGCATGGCACCTATCTTGCAATTTGTCTTTTGAATTTTGGCTCTTTGAGTGCCATTCTTTGCTTCGAAAAGCCACTTCTTGTACCCAACACGTGCTAATTCAAATGACACAAACTGCCAAAGAACTGCTTTCTTGGATCCAATGCGTCTGCAAACAATGTATGCTTCTTGCTCTGTATATGTTCTCTTGGACTGCGGCCATCAACAGAGAGTCAGGCATTTGCATCAAGGCTCAAGAAATTGTATGTTCTCATTTGGAATGGAAGCCCAAACAAGCAAAACAAATGCTTGTACTATCATGGTAATGAAGATCACTTACATGAAACATGAGCACATATGAGCACATAATTATTTCTTTGTTTCATCAAATTTGATAATCATTCAGAACCAATATCAAATAAACTATAGCTATAACCATCTATAACCAGCTTTTCAACAAAGTTAAGTGCTTCACCCTGAAAGTTTGGCAGCAGGAATGTAAGCTCAGACCAGATTCAGTCCTCTGACAGGAGTGCCTGCCCAGCGCTGAACTGGAGATGAAAGCACCCCACTATATACCCCACTATACCCCACTAACAATAACATAGAGAAGGGACGCTCGAGATTCATGACGGATAGTTTTAGAGCCCAACAACAACATATATATATATTATATATATATACATATTGTCATGGGAACTTTGAAAGTGGTTTTGATAGGTTTTGATACGCTTGGTTCAGATATGCTGGAGCAATCCTTCTGACCCCCCTGTTCTTCGGCTGCCTGTGCGTCCATGCGAGCTCCATTGGTCTGAAATTGGAACCGTTCCTCTGGTAACGTGGTATTCTGGGGTAGTAGCCTCTGGTAAACATACAAAAAGCGAACTGGAAAATGGACCATTGATATTTGATTTAGCCATTAAAATTGTGATTTTCATGTTAGTTTACCAGAGGTACCTTATTTTTCGAACAACCATGACACCATGACAAACATTGTCAAACCCTCATAACTACCGCTGTGGAAGCTAAACCTGCTCAGACTGTGGAACCTCATGATGAACCCGCTGAAACACCTTGGAAAGTCTTGCTGGAGAAACCTGTTTAACCAAGTGCCCCAAGTCCGGAATACCCGTACTGGCGGTTACTGACGTGACAAAATGTACGTGCATGACCAGGCTTGAGCAAAACCATGCCAAAAGCAGCTGTCCAACTCAGAGGTTCACCACGTCCACCATGACAACCCTACCGCATCAGTGATGCAAGGTTGGGCCTCCCCTCCCAACATGCCGGCCAGGAAAAGCCTGGGAACCCCAGCGATCACATTAGCGCATCGTCTCCCTATCATACAGCCCTAACTTCCAATCTTCCAAGATTGGGAATGATCGGGATGCGTTAGCCAGAAGGTTCAAATGCGAAGCACCCCAGCATGTACCCCACACCCCCAGTGGTGTGCGAGAAGAGCCAGCAACCCAACTGTGGGCTAGCTACAAGACGAGACACCCAGTCAACGTGATGTGATGGCTCCAGTTTTTGGCCACCTGTGAAACTGACCCTGTCTGAACTATTATCATCATGGTATGAGATATCTGCTGTATCGTGGTGTGGGCATGTGTGGGCTGTAATACCTAAGGGATCCTTAAAAATCCTAGAAGGATCCTTTGTGGTCTTACCCCAAGCAAACGTACTACGCCTAACTGATGTCAACCAGAATCTGATTATATAACTAGCATATCAGCATATATTCATATGTGTTTTTTTCCCTGAAAAAGGTGCCCCTAGTTCCAATGGACTATTTTCATTCTCATTCTTTGATGGTGATTTGGAGGGTTCATTCCTCATTTTCAGACACAGCGACTACCTCTGCGTGGCGCTTTCCTTTTCATTTCACTGCAGCTTGCCAGATCCGCAACGACTCCTCCTGACAGATCATGGCACACCTGAGCGGTGACACTGCGGGCACACCACAGATCGGGCACAGCAGGGTGAAACTCACGGGTTTCCCGGTCTCATGCCCACTTGGAAGTGCAGTTTTGTTGTGAACTAAGTGGATATATAACCTGAGTCATTGGGATTATACCAACCTTTTGGATCTTATGGGGTTTATTTCACCCCATGGTTATATACAAAGTAACCTCAAATGCACCCCCGAAGAAAACTACCAAATGTGTGGAAATTCATGGTTGCCTGTATGAGGACAAAAGGATCCATTGCAGTCAGGTTCCAAGGTGAAACTTTCCTGGGTCCTACAGTAACTCTCAACCAAGCGGAAACACCATTCGGGCTCCAACCAACAGAGGCAGTCATGGAGCAGTCAACTCAGGAGTGAATTGTATATAACATGTGGGTCAATCGGAGCCACCAATGGTCAGTAGGAACTGGACAACTAGTGCCCTATTTACTTCTTGGATGTGCGTCCCGCTGAATGTACGCGATTTATTTCATAATAACCAGGAAAAAAACACAACAGGCAACAATTGACAACATAAAAACTAGGATGCATGATGCACATCTACAATGTTTTAAAAAAAAAAAACAGCAAGTGGCTGCTCGATTCTGTGTAGCACTCCAAGGAACCAGGGAATCATCTTATATTTGATGGGCACAATCTGGTCCTGTCGATGTTCACAAAAAAAGGTATTCCGACAAGACAAAAAAACATGGATCTACCATGACCTACCCTTTGGCAATTTAACATGCCTATTGAACATGGCCCATATGGTTCGTTGATTTACCCAGAAGAAAAATTGCGATTTTCCGTAGCAAACTCTTAGTTTACCAAAGGCTAACTGAGCAGCCTAGTTCAGTGACCTTTTCAAATTCTCGGAAAGGCTTCCGGCTCTGAACAGTGCCGTCATTGCCAGTTGATCTCCAGATATCTCCCCAGTAAATCACATGAAATGCCCCATTGTTGTTATCTATCATTTGTGTTGATGGTAAAAGTAATAGATATAATGGTTGATATCCATCATGTGTATTCATTTAAGTTGATGAAATCCCCATTTTTCTTTGGGCCCGTCAAGAACCTCCAGCTTCGGCAACGATCCTGGATGATCCGTGACATGATCAACCTATGGTTCTGTCGGAACCAAACAACGTACCAATTGGGATGGTCATCTGCCTCCGTCTCAAAATTAATGACTCCAAAAATTGGGCTGGCGGGGTTGTTGATCTCCCGCGAAGTGATTTGAGTGGCTGCGGGTGATGCCATCCATCTCCCCACAAACGCGCAAAATCAAGACCTGTATGGCTACAATGGGTGATATAACCCACATCCAGGACAAGTACCTGCATAAGCATCCCAAAAATGGTGGCTATAGGCTATAATCCGTTCAATGATCCTCTAAGCTACCGCTTCAAAAATCCACAAACGGAAGCTGGTACCGCCCAAGTCCGGCCCCCAACTCCGAGTCACGCAAAGTCATTCCCTGCAAGGCAAAGGTGTCTGATGGTGTTGAGGAATACCCACAGACATGGCTATTCTAAGCGGGTCCATTCGCAATAGAATGGTAAGATTGACATGTCAAAAAATATAACAGGGATATTCTGTACTGGGATAATATATAATCACTGACCTGAAATATGCAGTAAATGTTGGTTATTAACGTTAAATAACCATCAGTTCGTATATCCCCCGCTTAATGGTGTCTATGTCCAGATAGTATATCCCTCTATAATTATTCTAACTGCAATCAACCATTTCTATGAACCCCGGCTTGTCAAAAATGGAACCACACTTTTTTCAACCAGCAGGGGGGGGTCACTTGAGACCAACGGTGTACATTTACACATATTGGGTCCAATGGAGAATTATCCATGGAAATTTCCATGAAACCCTCTGGTAAATTAACAGAAAACTATGGAAAATCACTATTTTTTAATGGGTAAATCAACTATAAATGGCCAATTTCTATAGTTTTTTGTATGTTTACCAGAGAGGGTACACCATCTCATTTTCTCAATTTTAAGTATCCTCAAAGTCAACCTGGTGAAGTACATCGAGCTGGGTGATATGTCCATTTTTCTTTTTTTTCTCCGGCACCAGAGACCATTAGAATCATTAGAACACTATGTGATACATGTTCGTATACTAGTTTTGTTTGATAGGTCAACAATCTACAATGCGGGAAATTTTATTGCCCCCTGCCCTTGCCATGGTTCTCATCACTGTCTGCGGTTGAACCCCAGAAATCCACACAACTAGATCCAGCTTCGATGGTGGAGTGTCTCAAAAGCCAAAAATAACCATCATTCACTGCCAGGGATGACATCTCTATATTAAGTAATGCTAATATGTCTAAATCTATCAGAATATTTCTAAAAAAAAACATTCTAGGAATATCTAGGAATTACACATATATCTGATTAAACACCGGTCCGACATTTGAAAAAAAAACACCAGGGATGCCTACCGGGCACTCGCCGCATCGGCACCTCCGGCAATCTTTGGCCAGAACTGTCCCAAGGTCCAGTGGCCTTGGGCGAAGAAAAACGGTCACTTCAAGGATTTGGGGTAGATGTGGAAAATTGCGGTTTAATTATTTAACTATAATATGACAATATAAATATATGTATATATATATATAATAGGATTTTCCACATTAGGGTTTATAACTATTTGGGGTAGATCCCAAAATTAGGATTTAACTATGCTTCACCAACCAAATTGGGATGTGAGATTTGGAATGATAAAAATTGTTCACAAAAACACAAATGAGAAACAATTGAGATTGAACCAATCAACATTTAAAAAATTGGGAGTCTTACCACGCGCTGTGCCTTTCTTTTCAGCGGTAGACTTTCACCCAGATTGGTTTTTGCCATGTTTTTGGGTGGGGATGGGTCAAACTCGTGGTGTATCAACAAAACCACACAGACCCACAGAATTACAGTAATCAACATATCTAAAACAATTGGACATTTCCAGCTGTCTAACATGTCTAACATGTCCATTTTAGGTGATATTGTGATACAGTGATACTCTATATAACTCTGACCCATCTCCAGTTGTTTAATGCCAGTTTTCGAGATTTCCCCATATTTCTGTTGGTAAACTTGTAAGTCAACTCAAGCTGATGGTTCACAAACAACTCAGGTGTTGACTGTTGTTCAGCCGCTGAGACGCTTGGGACCTGTAGGGATTGGATGAGTTTGCAAGCACGACCAAAAAAACTCAACTAGTGTCTTGTACCAGTATGTTCATATGTATGTATACATATTGTATATATAACATAATATGTTATATATATAACATATGACAATATATATATAATATGACAATATATTAATATATATATATAATATGACAATAACTATATATATATATATTACATAATAATACGTAATATAATTATATATATATATATATTATTATTATTATATATTATCATTATTATCATTATTATTATTATTACAGTATTATTATATAGATATATGTAATATAATATATATATATATATATTTAATCCACATATCATATAATATGCAAGACAAATTCATATGAGTGTACCCGGTAACAAACATCGGACTCTCAAAAGGTTTGGTGAGCGTTAAAGTCAAACAGAGTGAAACTCCAAAAGAAACGGTCTCAAGAATACTTGTTTGGTCCATGAAAGTTCCATTTCGATCAAATTCTCGTGTGCACGGTTTCAGCATCATTTCAATTGTTGATGTGTCGTGTCAAAAGGGATGGAAACAATCTATAGTCTATAGTCTGACTGTTTGGACCACAACAAGATTTACTTTGTCAAATATAAAACAAATGATAGCTTATGACTCGTTCATTCGAAGTCAGTCACCACTCAGTCACCCCTTCACTTTCTGGGTCTACTAAGACACTTGGTGTGTGCTGTGCGCGTGTCACCACAATTTTGCGAATTCAATCATGAATAATAAGAGTTTGTATCCTCTTCTAGTTCTAACGGATCAAACCCTTTAATTGTATCCTAAGGTTTATGAGATTAAAACTTAAGCATCGTAATGCATACAGCAGCATAGAGTAATCGCCATATTGAGTTCTGTTTTCTCATAACTGTCAATCATGAGTTCTCTCCACATTTGTCATTTGTCATCTGCTGTTTCCATATATATGTATATATTATATCATTTAAAGTGTGTAACTGTGTATAATAATGTAAAATATATTTATATATACTTATATGTAATGTAATGTAGTGTAATGTAATGTAATGTAACGTAATGCAACGCAATGTAATGTAATGTAATGTAGTTTAATGTAATGTAATGTAACGTAGTGTAATGTAATGTAATGTCATGTAATGTCATGTCATGTATATGCAATCAGCTAAACAATGAATCTAGTCCTGTAGCCACTAGGTTTATGACAAGATAACATAATTCCACATGATATATATATATATATATATATTGCTATACCCCTGTAATAAAACCCAGGCCCCAGAATCCTGATTTATATTATATGCATTACAGGGGTTTATCAATATATATATATATACGCATATGTATATATACTCTATCCGACTCTATCCATCTGAATCCGTGAGCTGTCCATCCTCTTCCGATCAACAGCGTTGCGCCTGCGCCGCGCGCTGGGTGCCTCCAGGGGCGAGCTGAAGTCCAGCTCGAAGATGCTACCGGAGCTCTCCTCCCAGACCTTAAAACGAGGACTCCAAGGACTCCTTTGGGACTCTGAGGACTCAGAGGCCGGGAATTGATGATGATGATGATGATGATGATGACGAGAAATGAAGCGGAAACAAAGATGGAATGGAATGAATTTGAGGGATTTGGTGAATGGATTTTCCATGGAAAGGTACTGGATGAATGGATTCTGTGACACTGTGGCAAGTTGTGACCAGCGAAAGCGCAGCGGGAGATCTCTCACGCAGTCTGACTGATTGGTCGTTCAGACCCTGGGAATTAATCCGCTCAGCGCCAAGCTTTTTGTTAGGTTTCAAGGACGATTCCAGGATTGATTTTGTTCCTTTGATGGTAGCTGTAATTTGTGAAGCAGGATAATCCAATCCCAAACTGTGACACAAAAAACAGATTCAAGGGTCCCTCGATGATGTTCCAAAACCGTTTCTTGGTCAGTCCTATTCCTAGTTCTTGCAGTTTATTCTCATTGGCGGGTGACACATCTTTGATGTAATGGAATTACATAGTCTATATATCCTTGAGTCTTTGTGAAACAGATCTTCCTCAATGACTTAGTCTGTGTCCCATTTATAGTATATACGTTGCATACGAAGGTAAACACCGCTCCCTCAACCCTCCAAACAAAACACCACAAGGATGACGACCCAACTAAAGTCAGCGGTGATGCTTTGAATACCTTGGATGTATCCCGCTCTTTAGCCATGCTGAATTACTGGTTGCGGGCCGGCATAAATTTGGGACATTTCTGCTGGTTGCCTTCTAAGCCCGTCAACCAAAACGAAGAAACAGTCTGTCCATGATGTTCCTTTATGCTTTCTTTATTGAACAATGCTATATACACGTGGGAACTTCCCAACCAGTCATCCAGAAATACTTCCCATGAAACAAGAGGACCCCAGGTACCCTGGAGCCCCGAACCATGAAGCCACAAGGTGGCTCTCCGGGACAATCCTCGGCAGAATATAAGCTGACTATGGGTACAAAGTTACCGGTATGCCCTATAGTCATCTAAGTTGGTTGACAATTTTATCAGCAATAGAACCACATATATATATATATATATATATAGGTAGGGTTTACAGGGTATATTGGCATTTTGGCCATGTCGACATGTTCACTTCCCAATTCAGGCATGTTGCGCTTCTTGGTGTGTTTAATCTGCAAAAGCATGGAACATCGAGTTTGGAACCGGTCATCTGAATTTCGGTCAACCTGACTGAGTGAAGGTGGAAATGATGCTGCTAATTAACGATGATCATGATTTTGATGATTTTGATGATTTTGATGATTTTGATAATTTTGATGATTTTGATGATTTTGATGATTTTGATGATTTTGTTTTTTTTGATGATTTTGATGATTTTGATGATTTTGATGATGAATGATGATGAATGATGATGATGATGATGATGATGATGATGATGATGATTATGATGGTGGTGGTGATGATGGTGATGGTGATGGTGATGGTGATGATGATTATTATCATCATGATTATTATTATGATGATGATGATGTTGATGATGAGGAGGAGGATGAGGAGGAGGACGAGGATGAGGAGGAGGAGGAGGAGGATGAGGAGGAGGAGGAGGAGGAGAAGGATGAGGATGATGATGAGGATGAGGATGAGGATGAGGATGATGATGATGATGATGATGATGATGAGGATGAGGATGAGGATGATGATGATGATGATGATGATGATGATGAAGATGTTGACGATGATGACGGTGATGATGATGATGATGATGAGGGTGATGAGGAGGATAATTAGTGACAACCATGGTGATGCCCTGTCTAGAAACCATCTTCGAACTCGAACCCATTTCTGTGGACCCGGCCACTTCAAAGGGAGTCACATGGTAGATTGGTGACCTCAATCGCTGCGCAGTCTGCGGGCATACCGGGGTAATACTGGGTCCAAACATTTGACTCACTTCCCATACCAACAGTGCTGGATGATGAATGTCTGCATATATGTTATATGTCCCAACAATTCCCAACAAATATAAAATCCATTAAAATCCCCGAACATCATGCATGGCTTAATGATAACCACAAGTTTGGATGCTTGTTTAGTGCAAGCCTAAAACTTTGTCGGAAGATGTCTTTGGAAGTGGCATCTCATGGTGGAAGTTTGCACTGCAGGGTCAAACATCAACCCCAAAAAACCCTCTGAAACCATCCATAGAGCAGCAGCTGTAGAACTGTCTTATCCAGAACTATGTTCTATCTGTTCAATCGTTAGTCTTCTAGAAACATGATGTTGACATGGGCTTGTCTTAAAAGTTACCGGGTTACCCCATTTTATTCGCCACTTTTCTGGACTTCCCCACCTCTGGATGTTGGAAATCACGCCCATTCCGTCCACGAGCCGCAGCACGGAGCAACTTGGTGCCTGCTGAGTGAAGCCGTGTTACTAAACCGATCCGATCTACATATACAACTACAGCTTTACTAAAGTATACTAATGTCTATAAGCATGTAGTTTAGGGTTTACTAGAGTTTTACAATTGTGGAGTGTTTACTTTCCATTTTCAAAAAAAAATAAATTGTCTGATTTTCCCAATCATGGATCTAGTTGTGTTAGATATTTTTTGGCCCAAGCGGTTTCTACCAGACAACTTGGATGTGCATGCTAGGGACAATCATAGTTAAAACTTAAAACACATAAAACAGTTTCTTAGATTTTCTTAGTAGATTCCACCCTAGATCACCCGATGCGAAAATCACATACACATCTTCAATAGATCCATGTTGAAGCCCAAACCTAGGATTGAAATGATTTTACCTATTTATTCAAAGTATCAACATATTCCCCAAAGATTTCAACAGATTTAAGATTTTTAAACATGTATTGAGTTCGGCGAATTCTGAGTTTCCTGACTCCCTCGGTGAGTTTCAGCTGCCTTGGGGACGTGGCTGCCGGTCAGTGATACCTCTGGCCCCTGGGGGGGGAAATCTGGGCATCATCTGGTGATGTTTCAAATCCATTCTAATCCCACATGTATCGAAGCGAGAACAGCAAAAACTGATCAAGAACAGAATCGAGTCCATCCAACTACATCCTGATTTTCCAAACTATCCAAAAAAAACAACCTGAGAAGCTCCTTGGATGCACAGAGGCTATACTTTTAGAAAATACCCTGCCTGAGAAGCGACTTGGCAGCAACTTTGCAGACTTGACACTGGAAAAGGTTGACTGAAGATCATGACCGTTTCTCTACGCATAAAATCTCGACGATAGTCACAAGTTCCTGTTGGTGCCGTCCCACCATGATCCCCAGCAATTGTGGATGTTGATGTACCTAACAGCAAAAATGTCGATACATTTAAAGAAACATGCGAATGATTTTCCTATTGAACATAGGGATTCCTCATCCATCTCTGGAAAATGATGCAAGGAGTGAGGTGGTAGCTGAGATGGGTGCAGGATCTGTGGTGGTCCATTGTAAAAGCCAAGGAAAGCAAACATCTGCTTGCCTCAGCAATTGACCATCTGCACAGCCAAAGCTTCTGTTTTAGTAGTCTCCCAGTCTGCTCTATTCAAACTCACATAGTCTGGTCTGAGACCAAACACATGCCACAGACATCCACAGACTATATGTCCACAAGCAGTGAGTACTGTAGTGAGTCTGCATGTGACACAACAACACAACTTGCGAGAAATTACTGTATATCAACGGCTCAAGCTGCAAAAGATAAATTATTGGAAACAAAGCTCTTGCTAATGTCAATCAATGACAGGAACCTTGAAATACATAGACAAAAACTCTCCAGGATGCTATAGATGATTTTTAGTTCATAGCTTCCAGGTGTCCCATTTGCCTATAGATTTTGGGATGCCATCAATCACATATGAATCATATAAACGTAGCTGTGTATATATCATGTCAGTAGAATATGTACGCCACTCCATGACTGAATATCCCTGACTTGGCTGAAGTACATATACATTACATTAATTGACCTGCCTGGTTATAAATCCCATTCTATCCCCACGATATTGCGAATATCTCCCATTGTATCCATATTACATCTCCATACTGTCCATACTTTTGTTGGACACATTTACCTTCCAGTAATCAAAAGTGGCTTGCAGGAACATCCACCATATTTAGTTCGATGGTTTTTCCCCAGCGAACGACATGTAGAGCCGGGAACTTCCATTGCCAGCCATGTTTTATTGGTGAATGTTGGTGTTTTATTGCCATCATATCCCCATCTAATAGCAGCATTTGTGTTGCTTAAATCACCAAATATCACCAGTACCAGTTGATCTCAAAGGAAAACTTGCTGACCTGCTGCTGCTGCAGCCATGGGCGACCACTCCTTTGGCCTCGATGTGATGGATGGTTTGTGATGGTCGTTGTTTTTTTTGTTTAACCGTGGATGGGGAACTCAAATATATTTATGTATATTATGTATACTGTATACTGTATACTTGTGTAACATTGTGTATATCTATATGTACATTTACTTTGATGTTGCTGTTATGCATATATTTAATGTTGCTGTTACCCCATTGATCCCATCATCACTATACCCCAAGATATCTGCAAATCAAATGGTCTCCGAAGCGCCTGCCAGCAGTCAGACTTAGAGCTGAAAGTCGTTGTCGCAGCCTGAGACTTGGCTCCAGCTTCTGGGCAATCTGCGGGGTCAAAGAGTGGGAAATACTTGGTACTCTGGAATCATCATCATCATCATCATCATCGTCATCATCGTCATCATCGTCATCATCGTCATCATCGTCGTCATCATCATCATCATCATCGTCATCATCGTCATCGGCATCATCATCGTCATCGTCATCGGCATCGTCATCGTCATCGTCATCATATATATATATATATTCCATATTCTTACAATATATAGTTGGAATAATATGGAATCATGTTCTACTCAGATGGCATATCAATGGTGTACTCTGAAGACCATCCGTTTTTATTGGCTGATCATTTTGATCCAAATCGGCCCAGTGTCCAGGCCACAAAGCCTTGGGGGTTCCCCAGTGTCCCGCCAACATCAGTGGCTACTCGGCAGGGTCTCAAACAATTGGACACATCATATAATTCTAATTGGTGGTTTCAACCCCCTCGAAAAATATGAGTTCGTCAGATTGGATCATCATCCCAACTATTGGGGAAAATAAAAGTCATGTTCCAAACCACCAACCAGAATTCCTTTCCTAATCCTTCAAATCTCAATCTTCCAAGATCTTCCAGCCCGATTCTGTTGTTTCCTTATGGACCATGGACGACCATGGACGACTATGGACCCGACCCTGTCCAAGTCCACCAGCCGGGAGACGCATATCTTCCACAAACCCTCAGGGTTTCTGGGGAGAGGAAGCGCAACTCATCATTGCCCAGGACTATTGGAGCTTCCTCAAGTGCCTGGACGTCGAGATGGTCCTGTGAATTTGGGAAAGGCTTGGTCAAACACTCAAGAATTCAATAGAATTGACCATGGGGGCACCATAGTCATACCAAAAAAATCTCTACAATCACTCTTGGATACTTTTGGAGACATCAGGAAGATGTGTTTTTTTGCTGATTAGCATCAACTAAGCTGGATCATGTTGTTGATTCACATGTTTCTGAAACCGGCGATTCAGATCAAGTTTCAGTGTGAGACTCAGAGATGAAGAGAAGTAATGTGGTTAAAACAAGAGTAAACCATCCCCCAGTCATCACCATAGGTGCTATAAATCATTCCCAGTCATGGGTAGTTTATGGCATTGATTTAACGACCTTAATGAAGATCGAACAAAACGAGCATGGTATCTGTGTATCTGGACCCTGCTGGGTTACCTTTGGAAGGTTCAGAACGTGGCCGTGGGCATAGCGGTCAATAGTCGATATCCATGGTTGCTCATTGAGGATGTTGTTTCATCCACAGTGCGATCAATCTCCTGTTCATGGCAGTGAAATACCATCCTAATACAACAATCAAAGCTCCGTTAGAAACAATGATTTAGGATCTATTGATTGATTCGGGGGCCCTCAGGGTACAACATATTAAAGGGATGGGATTGTCACCCATCGCATCGTGCCTGTGCAGCCACCAGCACTGGGCTGTCCAATCGCAGAGACGCAACCACTTTTCCTTCAGGTAAATACCATGCAAATGGATCTGGATTAGGCATCCCTGCCTACCCTCTGGTAAACAAACATAGCTATTGAAAATGGCCATTTATAGTTGATTTACCCATTAAACATTGTGATTTTCCATAGTTGTTGTATGTTTACCAGAGGGTAATGACTGAACAACTTGTCAAGTTGACTATCCCCATGTTACTAATTATTTGGTTAGGTATACACTGAACGTCACTGGACTATGTCCATGCTTGAGTTGGTGAAATACATCACGTGCCAGCTTTTCTTGAAAAGGAACTAATATGAACTATAATATACTATTCCCATTGTTTGGGGTTGATACAACAAGGGTATAAATGTGTGATTGGGTGAAGATTGCATACATGGGACATGCATGACATATATATAATATGTAATTATATATATATATATATAATTTTTATTGATACATATTAATGTATTAGTGTGCACATGACTAATTTTAAGCCATGTGTATATCTATCGGAATATCTATCGGAATCGATCAGTGCCAAATCCCACTTTCGCACCTTCGCCGCTGTGAGGACGGCTTGCTGCATCTCCGTCGGGCGTTGGCACAAGCCAACGCCAGTCTGGCCTGACGAAGCGCAAGACCAATCCCATCTGCAAGTCATGTCATAAACACGGGAGGGTTACTCATCAAAAATGATCAAAAATGGAGGGGTTCAGATGGTTTTACTGAAATAACCGAAATGGGGATTATTACATGGCCTATATATGCCAATATAGTATTGAATACTCTCTGTATGCCAGCCCCAAAATGAACAAATCCCGTACGAAACCATGTTTTCTAAAGGAGCTAGGAGTATAATTATAGATGATATTTGGCGAGGGGATTCTTGCAAAATGGATCAAGTCAACATGCACCATCAGAGGCGGATCACAAAAATGGACACCAAGTCATATGCCCTGCAGCACTAAGTCCAGTTTGGGTCTTGGGTAATAATTATATATAATTATCAATTATATATCTTTCGAATCAGGAATTTGGTTATAACATGTTATAAAGACAGGTTCCATGTTGGTACAGTGAAACTAAAATTTCATCCAATTCCTACCTCCTGCTTGGTCAGGTTACAAGCCTGACCGCTGGTAGCTGCAGCTTGTGGAGAGACGTGGGTGGAGAGCCCTTACCTGGACAGATGGTGAAACGTGATTGGAATATGTGCAGATGATTACCCTCTGGTAAACGTACAAAAACTATGGAAAATCACCATTTTATAGCTGGGTAAATCAACTATAAATCACAATTTTTCACTAGCTATGTTAAATTACCAGAGAGTATGCATGAATCAGACTTGAATAAAGGCTATCTGGAAAAATCATCAGAATTCATGAATTTGAAATTTGAATCTTGCGGCCATAAAAGGGGATGATTCCCCATGTACAAACAATCATTACAGTGACATTGCAGTGAGGCGGTTATAATTTATCCAGATATTACCCTCTGGTAAACATACAAAAAACGATGGAACATCACCATATTTAATGGGAAAATCCACTATTTCTATGGCCATGTTCAATAGCTATGTTAAATTACCAGAGGGTATATTAGGTTGGTTATATCTTTATATACCCGTGATGTTCTCAATTTATCCGGTTAGATCCCATGAAATATCAACAGATATCATCACTGAATCTGACTAAATCATAATAGTTCACTAACCTGAACATAGCTGAAAAATCCTACGGCCATTTAGGGATGATTCCCCAAATCCTAACCATCATTCCAGTGACGTCACGACCGGAGGTCGTAATTCATCCAGATCCAGTTGTAGGAGTCATAAAAGGGCTTGTAGAAGGGTTATCCCATTTATTTCCAATATATTCCATCTATTGATAGATGTATCAGCTAAGATGTATCACCATCTTTTGCATATCACCTGCAATTCAATAAATTCCATCTATTAATACAATATGTGTATATATATGTATATATATAAACAATCGTCTATCAATATATCGCCATTGTTTTACTATATATGGATATCATAATTGTATCACCTGTCATTGTGCTAAGATGACCGTGGCAGCCATGGCATCTCTCTGTCAGCCTGGATGCCCCAATGCCACCAGAACATCTTGACCTCGATCAGATTGTGCTGGTACCAAAAATGTTTGGCCACATATCACCAAATTTAGTTCTTCAATTCACAGTTGTTTTTCTTTATATATGTATATATAATGTATATATAATGTATATACAATGTATATATAATCTCAAATAATGTATATATAATGTATATACAATGTATATATAATCTTATATAATGTATATATAATGTATATACAATGTATATATAATCTTAAATAATGTACATATAATGTATATACAATGTATATATAATCTTAAATAATGTATATATAATGTATATACAATGTATATATAATCTTATATAATGTATATATAATGTATATACAATGTATATATAATCTTAAATAATGTATATAGAATGTATATACAATGTATATATAATCTTAAATAATGTATATATAATGTATATACAATGTATATATAATCTTAAATAATGTATATATAATGTATATACAATGTATATATAATCTTATATAATGTATATACAATGTATATATAATCTTAAATGTATATGTATATACAACGTATATATAATCTTAAATAATGTATATACAATGTATATAATGTATATATAATGTATATACTTAATATCTTAATAATGTATATATAATGTATATACAATGTATATATAATCTTATATAATGTATATATAATGTATATACAATGTATATAGAATCTTATATAATGTATATATAATGTATATATAATCTTATAATGTATATATATAATGTATATATAATGTATATACAATGTATATATAATCTTAAATAATGTATATATAATGTATATACAATGTATATATAATCTTATATATATGTATATAATGTATATACAATGTATATATAATCTTAAACAATGTATATATAATGTATATACAATGTATATATAATCTTAAACAATGTATATATAATGTATATACAATGTATATATAATCTTAAATAATGTATATATAATGTATATACAATGTATATATAATCTTATATAATGTATATTTAATGTATATACAATGTATATATAATCTTAATAATGTATATATAATGTATATACAATGTATATATAATCTTAAATAATGTATATATAATGTATATACAATGTATATATAATCTTAAATAATGTATATATAATGTATATACAATGTATATATGTATATATAATCTTAAATAATGTATATATAATGTATATACAATGTATATATAATCTTAAATAATGTATATATAATGTATATCGTATATGTATATATGTATATCTTAAATAATGTATATATAATCGTGTATATATAATCTTAATGTATATATAATGTATATACAATGTATATATAATCTTATATAATGTATATATAATGTATATACAATGTATATATAATGTATATATGTATATATAATCTTATATAATGTATATATAATGTATATACAATGTATATATAATCTTAAATAATGTATATATAATGTATATACAATGTATATATAATCTTAAATAATGTATATATAATGTATATACAATGTATATATAATCTTAAATAATGTATATATAATGTATATACAATGTATATATAATCTTAAATAATGTATATATAATGTATATACAATGTATATATAATCTTATATAATGTATATATAATGTATATACAATGTATATATAATCTTAAATAATGTATATATAATGTATATACAATGTATATATAATCTTAAATAATGTATATATAATGTATATACAATGTATATATAATCTTATATAATGTATATATAATCTTATATAATGTATTTATATAATGTATATATATATATACATAATCTGTATATATATATACTATGATAATATGTATGTACATAGGGGTCCCAGAAAGACAGACGTGTGTTTCCAGGTTTGATGTTTCCAAGCCGAGGTCCAACGACCCAAGTCCCACAGCCACGCAGATGGTTGACCCAGCGGCCAAGGAGGAGATTCCTGGCAACATGAACTGATTATGATGATATAACTATCACACATCTTTATATAATATATATCTTATATAGAATAACATATATATATATATCTTATATATAATATATTGATTGGCAGAATTATGTATGCAATCCAAATTAAATTTGCTTGTTCAACAACTTGAACTGGAACAAGAACTATCTGATCTCCTTCTCTTCTTTGTTTCAAATTTTGTTTTGAATTTGATGGTTAAAAAAACGAATCAAACGTGGTTGATGGTTTCAGCTCATCAAATCGGGATTCATCAAAAGCACTGAAACCACCAGTTGAGAATGATCGATTGTACATTCTTATACTCCAATATGCTCCGGTAAAATCCGGTTTGCGAACAAGATTTCCACATATTTTCACTATTTTCATGCATTTTATCGATGAATTTCCCATATTATATGAACGCCTGCAAAAAAAGCAGAAATTGCCACTTTCGATTTTTGGAGGGAAACTCATCACAAAAAAAAACATCAAATTCCATTGAAGTCTCATGAAATCCCGAGACAAATCCTGATAAAATGCCATGAAATCCCAATAAACACACATATAAAATCAGTGTGTAATACCCGGTATAACCCTCCCCATTTTCGCGAATCGCGCCTCCATGGGGACTGTAAAGAGCAGCTGCAACTGGTCATCCAAAGCCATCAACGACAAGCGCCGCAGCCAACGATGCTGGCGCAGTAGCTGGGATGGTGGGAACCGGCAGCTTTCTGGCAGCTTTCTGGCCATCAACTTGACCATCAAAAACTTGGTGAATCAACGGTGAATCCACAGGAAAAAAAGGGAGGCTTCCCAGGTCCTTGTTGGCCGCCGGATGTGGACATCTGTTGTGGCTGACACTATGGATAGCTTGCAAAAAGTATAGCCAATATGATACTAGTATAGGTTATATGGATTTATATGGATTTATATGGTACATTCCTCGATTTACACCATCTTATGGATGAATATGGCTAGAAAGAAGATCCTTTGCCTCGCCAAAGTCTACCCGGTCTACCCATCCAGAATGAACAGGCTCTGACCGGCTCTGATACCTGTAGGTGAAGCATAGCCACAAGGGAGAACAGTATAGAACACTGATCATTTTATGACTATTGTATATTAATTAATGCTTTATACATTTATATATATATGTGATTATATGTATACATATATACAGTGTGTGTATATACATATATATATATATATAGTTGCTATATATATATATATACATATTTTCTCCGGCTTCCCCCTTGTATCTGAGGACGGCAGAGGAGCAACCCTGTTGGTAAACAGTTCTCCCGTCGCATTGCCGGCCATATCCAGCCTGCACCAAGGCTAACAAACAAGGCTTGGGCTTTGCCTTGAATGCCAACGCCAGGACCTGTGACAGGAGAAACCATGACACCAAGAAACCTGAATGCATCAAGGAATGAACATATTGGCCAATCTTAGACATCCGAAAAAAAAATAGATGGTTTGTACCCATTTGTACCAGTATGGTTTGTATATCCTCATGTACAGCAACAATATTCAAGTCTTAAACTGCCCCCCAAGGTTTACCCAATTCTGCAGCAACTTGCGCAGGTTTGGACATTGGACCTGTTTACTTCAAGGGCTTGAAGCCAGATCAGCCATGTGTCCATGAGTCTATGCACACTTGAATTTCTAGACAACTCAAAAGATATCAAATTCGACAGTATGACAACAACTCCAACGACGAGATTCACGGTCAAATGCAGCTACCTCCTGGTGTCATCAAAGATGGCACTTAGACTTTGGGAAGTAACCGAACTCAATGGAGCTTTACATGTTGGTGGTATACCATGGTATACCTACCCCTCTGAAAAATATGACTTCGTCAGTTGTTCACCTTATTCCCAACTGAATGGAAAATAATGGCAAGTCATAAAAGCCATGTTCCAAAGCATCAACCAAATATATTGTTCTTCCAATTATTAACCATTATTATATAACCATAGATTAACCATAGATTAACCATTCGTTCGCTGGGAAAATCCGTCTATTTCTGGTGGATTTCTCCAGGCCCAGGGCGCACCAAACTGCCCAAAACCGGCCTCCCCACGAAGCCGACGACTCTGCAGGACGGAGTGTTGGCCCTGGGGTGATTTCAGGGCTGGGAGATCTCCGCCTGGGGCCTGGATTACTTCGAAAATGGTCACCCTTTGGTAGTTTTTTTTGAACAAAAATCTGGTTATGGTTAGTTTCTGTAGCAACAAACTAAAGGATGAGCAACTATCCATCCAAGGTTCGGGATGCTTAGGTGGCCAGGATTGATGTGTTCAAAAGGACATGTTGCAGATCATGTTGCAGGATTCTTTTTACCATCCAAAGAATAGGGGTGTTCTGTGATTTATTCCTGAAAAAAACATGGTCGTTACAACACCATGATGACCAAACAAATTCAGGGTTTCAATCAATACGCAGCATTCTAAAAAAAGGCATTCGACACAGGCTTGATTGTTCAAAGTGAACGCGTGATTACTCAAATTGGATTGAAGGAAAACATGCATGACACTACTAGATATTGTGGTAAAAACCTGGGTTTCCTACAACAGAAACCCTGAACATATCCTCAATCCTTATCTTCTGGTCTATTCGCTTCCAACATCTTCTAACCACTACCTCGTGGAGTCTCCGTATGCCGCGCCTGCGCATCTTCAAGTTTGCCACAGGCCAAGGTCAGCTCGTTGCCTAACCCATGGTGATCCCGGGATCCTAAAATATGATTGACAGATATTGAAAGTATCAACACAAAATTTACGAGATGACATTCTGCAGAATTCATATAATCTGTATTAATCTGTCACAAATCTATCAGAAGTTGATACTGGGACATTTTTTTGTTTGATTTCCACAACTCACCGTCATTTCTGGAAAGGTGAGTTACAGTAGATCCTCAGTCGTCATCTAGGATGCCTCCCCTTCACTGCCTCCATCCGTGTTGGACAAAGTGAGCAGCGAATCCGAGCAAAAGCCTATGGCCTGCATGGCCCGATCTCAAAACGTCGGCAGCTACATGTTTTTTTCATGGCTGGACTTTCAGTTACCTGATTATATCATTAAACTATGCTATCGCAGAAACCTCAGAGGATGACATGAAGTGAAAAACAGTCAAACTCACGTCCTCAGCTGCTCAATCATTGCATTGTCGAAAAAAAAGATCAACGATGTCTTAGATTCCTTGGATCTTCAATTACTGCCCGTTTCCTCTTCCCATCCGCTTGGACATCTGACGCGCGTCTCTTTCTCAACCAGGAGAGGCTCTGGCTCCAGCGATGGACGGCGAAGGAGAAAGGCCTGGCTCCAACCCCGGCACACTTCTACTTTGAAGGTTAAGTATATTATATTGTATCATATTATATCTACCTACCTACCTACCTACCTACCTACCTATCTACCTACCTAGGTATCTATCCATCCATCCATCCATCCATCCGTCCGTCCGTCCATCCATCCATCCATCCATTTAATAAATTTAATCTATCTATTTTATTTATCTATTTATATATAATCGATCTATTATTAATCGATTTATATAATCGATCTATGTAATCGATCTATTTAGTCCAATCCAATCTAATCAAATCAAATCTAATAATCTAATCTAATCTAATTAATTTGTTTTAATCCAATCTAATCTAATCTAATCTAATATATCTAATCTATCTATCTATCTATCTATCTATTTATCTATCTATCTATCTATCTATGTATCTGTCTGTCTATCTATCTATCTATCTATCTTTCTATCTATCTATCTACCTATCTATCTATATATCTATCTATCTATCCATCCATCTATCTATCTATCTAATCTATCCAATCTATCCAATCTAGCTAATCTAGCTAATCTAGCTAATCTAGCTAATCTAGCTAATCTATCTAATCTATCTAATCTATCTAATCTATCTAATCTATCTAATCTAATCTATCTAATCTATCTATCTATCCATCTATCCATCTATCCATCTATCCATCTATCGATCTATCCATCTATCCATCTATCTATCCTATCTATCCTATCTATCCTATCTATCCTATCTATCCTATCTATCCTATCTATCCTATCTATCCGATCTATCCGATCTATCCGATCTATCTAATCTATCTAATCTAGCTAATCTAGCTAATCTAGCTAATCTAGCTAATCTAGCTAATCTAGCTAATCTAGCTAATCTAGCTAATCTAGCTAATCTATCTAATCTATCTAATCTATCTAATCTATCTAATCTATCTAATCTATCTAATCTATCTAATCTATCTAATCTATCTAATCTATCTAATCTATCTAATCTATCTAATCTCTAATCTATCTAATCTATCTAATCTATCTAATCTATCTAATCTATCTAATCTATCTAATCTATCTAATCTATCTAATCTATCTAATCTATCTACTCTATCTAATCTATCTAATCTATCTAATCTATCTAATCTATCTAATCTATCTAATCTATCTAATCTATCTAATCTATCTAATCTATCTAATCTATCTAATCTATCTAATCTATCTAATCTATCTAATCTATCTAATCTATCTAATCTATCTAATCTATCTAATCTATCTAATCTATCTAATCTATCTAATCTATCTAATCTATCTAATCTATCTAATCTATCTAATCTATCGAATCTATCTAATCTATCTAATCTATCTAATCTATCTAATCTATCTAATCGATCTAATCTATCTAATCTATCTAATCTATCTAATCTATCTAATCTATCTAATCTTCTAATCTATCTAATCTATCTAATCTATCTAATCTATCTAATCTATCTAATCTATCTAATCTATCTAATCTATCTAATCTATCTAATCTATCTAATCTATCTAATCTATCTATCTAATCTATCTAATCTATCTAATCTATCTAATCTATCTAATCTATCTAATCTATCTAATCTATCTAATCTATCTAATTATCTAATCTATCTAATCTATCTAATCTATCTAATCTATCTAATCTATCTAATCTATCTAATCTATCTAATCTATCTAATCTATCTAATATATCTAATCTCTCTAATCTGTCTAATCTATCTATCTATCCATCTATCTATCTATCTATCTATCTATCTAATTATCTATCATAAATCATAAGGCCTAGACGCTCCAAGTAGGCTCCAAGCGGTAAAATTCCCTGTTCATCCCTTTTCTATCGGTAGTTGAAGGGACTAGTGTCTCTAAAGACGTGGAAACAACATTGGACATGGCCAACGTCATTGAGCGTCAAACATAGTAGAAACATACCATATCATTCCCAATTCTGCGGTCAGTATCCATCACTAACCTTAGATACCGCAAAAAAAAAAACATCATTTGTTTCAAGCAGGATCATCATCACATTCCTCCTTTTCAGTAGCAAACATCATATGTGTCAACAACATTATACACAACTCCCCAATATCTTCCTTTTTTTCACCATTCACCTGTCCTTGCCCATCGCAAAGTCACCTACCCCCACGGGGGAACTTCCAACGCCTCGCAGCTTCCACGACACGCCATTGCGGACGCATCTGCGCCGGGGATCAAATGCAACGGGCCACGGCTCAAGCGATATCGCTGCAAGCGCGGCGAGGCGGCACCTGACGCGAAAAGGAAGGGATCCAGGGACCCCAAACGGTTTTGGAACATTGGTTTCGAAGTGAGCTAGCTACCTTCCGGTGGATACATGGTAAATGGATGTAAATGGCCCGTTGGGTTCGATGGTTTACTAAGTATGCGGATATTGCGTATGTTATGATCATAATCTAGAGGGTTCACCATGGTTAATTCACTATTTCATAGTCGACTGGGATGATTTCGGAGGGTTACCTCTATTTAAGGACATGCAAATTACGGCTATACTGAAGGGAATTCATCCCACAATTATTGCTGGTTCGACCTCTAATCATCGCAGAAAAAATGTCTCGTATGTAGGAATTGTCTGGGTTTTTAGAAATATCTGGGATTTCTGTTTTGGGAATCAAGTCTACAACTCTCCCAAACATTTCGCTCTGTCCGAAAATATTGACCCCCAAGTTGTAGTGTTCTAAAATGTTGCAAACCATGTGATGGAAGAATGGATGATCCGATTTTCAGACAACCCAAAATTCATTCTCTTGGTATGAGGCAACATCTACCGCGGAAACCATCTCTCTATGAATGTTGGTGTCCGATTCCATCCAAGTCTGGGACTACCCCTGCTGGGACTTTTTTTACCCACGGGAACATTCTTATTTTCCTGGTGAAAAAATCACTCACATCGGTGCGTTTTCATAGCCAGGCTGGATTCGCAATGGGTATCTAAACTGGCGGACAGCACCACCAGGACCATTTTACGATTCAGAACACAATAGCGTCGTAAAGACCCTGTTAACCAATGGAAGTCAATCCCCTACGTAGTAGATATTGTAGATTAATAGATGTATTCAATATAGGACGGATTCAGAGCAGCCAGGAAAAAGGTCAGTTCCACATACGCATACTGGTCAAAGTTCGAACCATTAGCAACGAGCATTCAGCCAGCAAAAATTCGAAGAAACATCGAATGCACTGCATTGTATTTGGTGGTAGGTGGAATGCACTTGGGCCCCCAAAGAATCCTACATAGTGTTGACCTCAGAATAACTTTTATAGACCACCTGCTTGTTCAGTTCTATTGTCTACACACGAGCCGGGGTTTATTATTGTCACGGATTGACAGTCGATACATTCCCATAACTCAACACACTTCTGGGTGCCGTACTGCCGGGCCAACTCCTTTGATTATAGGCAAACCAACCATGCCGTTCTGAACGGCTGCTCTTTTGGCACTGCTAGCTACTAACAGAAATCCGAGAATCTGCTATCATATGCTATCATACTATCTTAAGCACTCAGAGGTACAAACTACATGGGCGTGTCTGATACGAGTATGGTACCCCATTCCATCCCCTGGTTTAGAAAATCATTGTCCCCGCTTTATTGAAAGGTCCGTATACCCAGGCGATATCCCCAACAGCAAAGTTGGTAGGAACCGGTGAACACCGCGAACGCCTGTCAAATTTCAACGGCCTCCGCGAACCAATCCCGCAAGCCACAGCTGAAGCAACACATCGCCCCCGGAACCACACCGAGACCTCCGGAACCATCCCGAAGCCACACCGGAAGCCACTGGAATTTCCAAAACGACCCGACCAGAACCTCCAGAACGGAACCCGCACCGGAAGCTGCAGCGAACCCTTGTCTGGGCTGAGACCCCTCAACTAAATTGAAGCTATAGCTCCCCGTTGATCATTTTTATTCATTTTTCCCATTAACATGACCATAAACTGAAGGTATCTGAAGGTACGCTGCACCCATTTTCACAGAAACATCGAACAACCATCTCAACCTCAGCTTCAAAGCCATCACCACCTCCAGTCACCATCCCAAGCTGAACAAAAATCACCTTGGGTCTTCCAAATCATCAGCTGCCCATCGGCAGTTCCAGCAGCAAGGCTCCAACCTCACAGGTCAGCTTTCCTTCAGTCATGGGATAGGATGGGATGCTTGCAGCCCGAGTTTTTCATCTGAAGTAATCCCATTCCCGTAATGTGAAGCATACCCGTAGTGGATCTGTTCATTTTGGGACAAAGTATTTGGGAGGTGTTTAATATCAAGGGGAAAGGGATAGAAACAATGCGGGGCTGCCCCAAAAAACATAGCTGGCTTCAACCCCTGAAACGTATGCTCTGCTCGTTGACCCGAAGCCAAACATGGGTTTCTCTGAAAACAAGCTGCTCCAAATGGGTTTAACCAAGAAGGAAAGAAAGACCCCAAATTCCAGTGGCTCATCATTTTCCCAGGCACAAAATGCCATTCCGGGGGTCAATCTCCCAATTTTTCATTGCCACCTGCATGTGCCGTAGATGGCAGATATCATCAGAAACGGGCTATGGAAATCCAACCATCCTGAGGGTTTCCAGCCCGTGCCGGCCTGTGTTGATCTCAGCAGCATGCCTAGGACCACAGAATGGAGAGGCTGGAAACAACCATGCTGCCACCATATGTACTCATATACACACACACACTCTTGGATACCATCAAATACCTGTCGATATAATCCTATGATTGTATTATATAAGTACTAGTACCATATATTATCATATATTAAACAAAATATGCGTAGAGATAAAGATCAATTGAATGTAGATGCCACCGACTCTGCAAGATTTGCAGTCCAGGCATAGGGTCTATGATCTCGTACATCCATGCGCCCTAAAGTTCCATCCAAATGCTTCATTTCAGATTGCGGAAGACTTATTGGCATCGTCGCAGCGTGCAGGTCCCATCATATCTGGGATATCTGATATGTACAGTGCGCATATCTGTTGCATTGACATGCACATGGACAGTAATGTTGGTGCACATATGTGCACATGCCGGAATATGTTCATCCGCAGCTTATCAGCAGGTTGTGATTTTGGAACATATATAATAACAGCTTCAGCAACTATATCTGGAAAAGTCACATCCAAAAAAGAAAACACCAATAACAATGAACAGCCTGAACAGCCAGCTGAAGGTCCATGGCAACGCCCATCCAATATATACCGTTGTGCTTATTCAAGGAAAGTGATAGATGATTTGCCGCCAAATACTGAAGTCGTGGAATCATTTCGAACTCATGACAAATCATGTCCGCTTTATCATTGGATTGGTTTGGATTGGTTTAAGGGAACATTTTAACCGGAACCCCCCATGGTCTTAATGGTTAAAACATGTTAAAACCATGGTTTCCGGTTAAGATTTTCCCAAAACATCCACTGATTTTAGCACCTGGGAATGTTTCACATTGGATCCAGGCATGGAATGAATCCGCGCGGTTGCAGGGAAGCGTTGAAGCTCCTTAGCATCGCGGAGGAAATCCGGACCTGTTGGGTTCTGGGGCCGGACCTTAGGGGGGGCTTGATTTACCCTCCGGTCATCAAACATGGCAACTGGAAAACCACAATTTGTACTACCTGGTTATTTGACATAGCCATGGAAAATCCCTCATAAATGGAGGTTTTAACGGGAACATCATCTATAAATGGACCATTTTCCATAGCTATGTTAAATAGCCAGAGGGTAGATATTTTGGAGGATTGTTCCATCAATACTCCATTTCTAGAGGATTTTCCATTGTCACCTTTGATAGAGGGTCATTGATTGGATGAAGCCCAGTGAAGATCTCATGGGCGATTCGCCGCAAGCTGAGCACATGATCCATTTCCGAATCGACCATTGGGCCATTGGCAAGCTGAGTTGGACTGAACATAGATGAATTGTAAAAAAAGCTCTCTCGCTCAAGATCTGTTGAACATTTTTGGTAAGTGACTGTGTAGGTATATGTGGTACTTCATGCCACCGGATCTACAATCATTCAGAGGTGTGTTTCTGCATCAAAAAACAATTCGAGCAATCACAGCTCAAAAACTGGAAAAAATGATTCTAACAAAATGTGAGATGTCATTAGATGTGCAGGTTGGAATCAGGCAGTGGAACCGCGGAACCTGCTCCTTCCTTCTCAACTTGCCTCTGCACTTGGAGACCATGTAGGCTTCTCTGGAAATGGGACTCCAAAAGTAATCCAACATAGCAATCTTCATCAGACACAAATGATGATCCCATGGGAATTTGGGGATGCCACATGTTTGAACAGTGACTATCATCAGGATTGAACCCCGGTGACCAAGAAATTGCCTGGGGCACCTGAGGGGTTCTGCCATGAAAAACCACAAAACATCACAAAACAAGTATTGCTAGATCACACTCCCTTTAGTAAATAGATTTCCCAATATAAATTGGAGATGGGTGAAAAATCCCGACAATCTCTCCATGGCGCAAAGCCCGGGCACTACCCCGGGGACCTGAACAACTGAACAATGCGCGCACCGAGTGCCAGCTCATCCGATGCGCATCTTTGAGGCTCTGACCGTGAGGCTGGTTCCATCGAGCAGCAACACGTCCTTGGCTTCAGAAGGGCATTCCCACAATATGAGGCCCCCGTTCGATAGCTAAGTTGGTGAACATAACTCCAGTAACTATGGTTTATGGTACTTATAACTATAGTTACTGGGACGTATAAACCAACTTATAACTGGGGGGCCTCACATTGCAGTAATATTCCAATTGTTTATCGATGAGAATCCCCAAGATATAAAGGGTACAAAATGGTACAAATTAACCCTTTCAACATCAACCAAGAGGGGTTTTGAACACTGCTCACTTGGAGACAATTGCAAACAACCGAAGCAACAGCCTTTTATGACGCGCGGAAAAGTGAGGCCACTACATCATTTTATCATATAATGAATCAAATTACTGGTGCTTGGTAGCTATGAATGTCATCCCCCAACTCACTTAATTTTGATCCGGGATTCAAAAAATATTAATATTATGCTTCCTTGATATTTCTTCCCATTAGTTCAACAGGTGGTCTACTCCACGTTTCAAAACCAATCGTCATGTATCAATGATATCCCCCATAGTTTTCAGGGTTCAACCCCCCTACAAATGATGTTTGGCCCAGTTGCACTCTGTAATTTCTCAGTTTCATTTTTTCCAACATTATTCATGAAAGTGCATCGTTTACTGGTTGGTGGTATCAACCCATCTCAACCAATCATCCCGAGTAAGCCATGGTTGAAAACACATAAAATCTGGGAAATCACCAATCAGTTTCTCTATCAATGTGGGTAAACCATCCCCCCAAATCACCATTTCTTATGGGTGCTATAGACTCATTCCCAAATGGTAGGTTTATGCCGTTGGGTTTACCAATCAGTTTACCTAATTCCGATTGTATCCCCATTAAATCCCATTAAATCCCATAGATGATTTACTCATGAAATATGGCCCTTGTTCTTCCGTGGCCGTGGCACGTGGGAGATCCAAAGGGAGGCGAAGACCAAGAGTTGAACCGATGGCGACCTCAGCTAAAAATCTATGAGTCTGATGGGGATTTAACCAGTTAACATCAGGTTATTTAACATAGCAATGGAAAATCACCATTTTTAATCGGTAAACAATCTATAAATGGGCCATTTTCCATGGCTATGTTAAATAACCAGAGGGTAACATCAGTAAACAAGAGTAAACAATCCCTACAGCTCCAAACACCTTCTGAGACTGTATTTGGAGTCATTTTTTTGGGTCTAAACACCTAAAAATAGAGGGGATTTGGAGCACTAGGGAATAGTAAAACATAGGGATTTATGAGGATATTCATGGAAATATACTGGTATATATATATATGGATTTACAACCACAATCAGAAATCGGATTGTGATGGTGATACAATGGAAAATTCATCAAGAATCAATGAATATATGGGAGGAGATAAAGTGGGAATATATGTAATGGGATAGACATAGGTCAAGTTAGTCGGATAGTTACCTGCAAGTAAATTAACAGTTTGACCTTGAAGATAGCATTTTGTGCAGCGGAAAATAAACTTCCAACACCCGACTGATGGCGGGGTCTATGTTCATTTGCGGGATTGTAACCATTGAAAAAACTGATCTAGGTGGATATGAATGGGGATAAAATGGATAGTGGAATATATAATCAACTATATCCAATTTGGGTTGAGCTTCCCAATGAGTTGGGTATCAACCCAAATTGTAATCCCAATGGAGAAAAAGAATGAAGATTAAGATATTGGGGTACCCATTTATTTGAGACACACGCTTTTGAATCCCCACAGCAATAGTTTTGCAACCTATTGAAAAATGTAAAAACAATGATTTCTTCCCTGTCATGACTCCGCATTCGAACTAACAACTGGGAATTTATATCAAATTATATCAATTTATTGGGTTTGGGGTTCAAAATTGTGTCCACAAAAAATGGAATAGTTCTGACACTATAATTCAGGGTTCCAATCACATCCTCACCACATGGTTTTGGCCTTGAAATAGCACCTGAAAATGGATATGACGGAGAAATGATTGGATACTCCGGATTCTAAAGAATAGCCCAAACTCTAAACTGTTATGGTTAATCATCATATTCCGAACTGCTGAAATAAGGGATTTTATATTATGGACCCATCAAAATATGGCAAAAACATCTTGAAAACCGCGTCAGCATTGGTTTGGGCCTCTTTCTCCTCTTCAGCATGGAAATGTCATCTACTGGTTCTACGTACTCCTCTTGCGTTCGGCCCTCAATGCATCATTTGCAACTGGATTGGCCCAAAGATTAGTTCTCCGTGACATCTACGTGCCTTTCCTTTATGGGCTGGAACACTCTTTGCTCTGGTGATTGGATTGAATGGAGGGCACCGCAAATCTTTCGTTATAATTAGTCAATATATTGTTCATTGTTGATTGTATATCCCCATTAGATTCACATCAAATTTTCCCATTCAATCCCCCATCAACCCCGCCATCCATCTGCAGAAATTCACCGCCGAGCTCGACCGAGCTGCTGTGTACAGGCACTCAAGGAGGAGATCTGGGGCAGAAAAGAAACAGGGAAACGATGGGATGGGACAGGATGCTAGAT